GATAGAGAAATTAATTTTGTTATGTAATAATAAATTAAAAATAAAAATTTTAAATTTTTCAGTAAATTATAAAATTAATTAAAATATATTCATATTATACATATTTTTTATATTAAAAATTTTCAACTTTTATAATAATTACTTTTAAATTTATATTTGAGGTAATTTTTAATTAGTCGATAATGTAAAAAAATTGTATCAATAACAATTAAACTTAATAAATTATGTGAATCATTATTGATTTGGTATGATATTCCAAAATTTAAATTTATAATTATGGATATTTTTATATTAACAAACAAGAACTTGAAATTGACTAAATTTATATAACAATGTTTGATGTAAAACAAAGTTACACATTAAACTAGAAAATAAATTGAGAGCAGTCATGACTCGTAAAAGTAGGAATTTAAATTTAGCAAGTTGTTTTTTTTTGTCTTTTAATACATATGATGAAATTACAAGTTTTTTCTATCTTTTTTTTAAACATGTAGGCTTACTTCTCATTAATCGAGAGCCAACTTTATTTTCGGTTGGAACCTTAGGTTGTCCTTCCTTCTAATGAGATGGCAAAAAGGAAATCTATTCATCATAGAGGATTGGTAAGAGACAAAAGGATAAAAAAATATATGAATGATTTCTTGATTTTTAGTGTTTGATTTGTTGAGCTCCAAAATGAGGTAATATTTTGGAATTTAACTTTTTTAGATTGAAAATAATGAGTTTTTAGAAGATAAACTGCAGTGTTGATTAGAAAAATAAAAGTAAAAATATCATCAATTACAATTTATTTTGCACGTATATTTTATTGTGATGTTAACTTTCAATTTTTAATAATTTGTTATTATTATAATTCATTTTCCTACTATAAAGATGTTAATTCTAATATTTTGGAATAAGTAGTAATTAATTTAATTGGCATCTTAGATCTCATAAACATTAAGTCATGGGATTGGTTGTATTCAAAGGTTGGGAGATGCTTTTCATTTTTAAGTTGGTATTCTATTCTTAATTATGGATGTATCAAATAAGTGTGCAACTAGTTGTTCGGTATACAAGGAGAAGTACCCCTTATATACATATTAGGTTTTATAATAATAGTATATGCATTTATTTAATATATTAATAATGTAAATTTTTACATTGTTGTTTAGTTATAAATTACTATATTAATACAAATTATTAATTTTTTATATAATTAATTTAAAATTTATATATATATATATATATATATATTATGTATTCTAATTAATTGATAGTATAAAAATTTATATTAACAATAAAATGAATAATCTCTTTTCCGTTGATTCATATAATTGGTGGTAATCTCTTATTATATTTTATTATTTGATATAAAATATTAGTTTTGAATTTAATTAAAATGTATCTGTGGTATGAATTTTTTATATTATTATTTAAGGTTTAAATATTTATTTTATTTCTATAAAAAAATTTAAATTTAGTTCCTTTAAAATTTTTTGTTAGAATATGATTTATATGTTATTTTTTATTTCTTGTAACTGATTAAATTTAAGAAAAAACTAACATCTTGTAATATATTTCAATGAATCATACTAGTTAGAGGGACTAAAAATAATAATTTTAAAAATATAAGAATTATATTTTAATAAAAATTTATAAATACCAAATTCAAATCGTGCAATTTTTGTTGAGATGAAATATTTAATTAAAAATATTATTAAATTATAAATTATTATATAATTAAAAAAATATTAATTTTTATAATAAGAAATTGTATATTAAAAGAAGAAGTATTAAATATGCTTTGTTTCCCACCCGGGGAAAAAAAAACCTTGGAATTGTAAACCTTCATTGATGTCGAGGAATGAAATAAGCATATATTTACAGAATAATGGAACCATATACTGTAATAATTGAGATAATGTTATTAGAAGCAAATCTTAACACAAAACGTGATTATATTTATTCGAAGGAATAACATTATTCTTCTCCTTATAGCTAGTTTTTACTGTGATTCTCATGAGCCTTCACTGTAAATAAGCAAACTTGTGTGATATTAAAGGAACGATTCTAGATATATTCCTGAAATAATACAAATACCCATAAACTTTTTCTTTTGTGGTGGGGAATTAAACTGTTACTATCACACAGGTTCAAATTGTATCCCATCGTTATATTCTTTGATTATATTATTATTCCTTCTTTCCTTCAAACAAGCTCAGAATTCAATGGATGAAATCACTTCAAAGCACTTGAGGTATCATCTAACCAAAACTTCTTTCTCTATATTACACTAATCTCTAAATTAATGGATACTCATTACTCAATAAACTAAAGGGAGTTAATCAATCTCATTACACATTAAGGAATTACAATATTTCTTGAATATGTGATTAACTCTTCTAAAAACTTAAAATATCAGGTAGAAACATGCATATGAGTAATTTTGTATCCTTAAATATGTTTTCCCCTACTTTTTATCATAAAAAAATGAATATTTCAAGGGTATTATAATTATCATGAAAGTAAGAAATTCATTAAATAAATAAAATAGTATTGTTTATTTCTTCCTATCAATTATTTAAATAAATATATTGTTATAAAAAATTGAAATATTATTAAATCCTTATTTTTAGGATTAATTTTATTTTTAATTTTGTAGTTTAGCCTATATGTAATTTTAGTCTTTCAATTTTTTATAATTAAGTAGTTTTTTATTTTAAAAATTAAACAAAATTCATCTTGTCTATTTTTTATTTAAATATTTTAAATTATGACATGTTATGCAAAAAATTAAGGGTTTATGACGAGTTTGGGATATAAAATAATTTTAAAATTATTAAAAATAATAAATTTAAATGAAAATAATAATTTTTAAGGACTTTATAAGTGAAGGTTTAATTTGAGGAGAAAAAAATATTTGTTATTGAAATTTGATGTTGAGATTAATAAATTTTGAGTAAAATTCACTTAATTTACTTCTTAAATCTTTTGAGTATTTTTTAAGGGTTTCCGAGAAAAAAAATTGACAAATAAATTTACTTAATTTTAAAATCAAGAATACTTAAGTAACTGGAAGATAGTTAAGCTAAAATTATACACAATCAACGTTGAAGATACAACTAAACATAGTCTTATTTTTAATTCTTTGAGATATGCTAAAGATGTACGTTAACAAAATTTTTAATATTTTTTTACGATACAATTTGTCACTTTAAATTGTTAATCTTAGAAAAACGTGTGTGAGTAGCTGAAGCCTAAATTGTAAGATCAGAACGTGTGCGTGCCAATTTGGAATGCATTCATGGACGTGCTGTCAAGACCAAACCAATGAGACATTTGTTTATCCTTTTTCTTATTTCTTTAATAAAAAAAATACATCGTTAAAAAATAAATTAACGAACAAAAATATTATTTTTAATTACACATTATTTGAAGAAAAATAAGAAAAGGAACAAAGCTGCGATGCTCACCTAACTTGCATCTTGATTTGAGAATTAAAAAGAAAAATGTGGGGGTATTAGAATATAATAATGAACCTCTATTAGTGCATTTCCATTTTTCTTTTTCTTTTTGGTGAATTTAAGACCAAAGAAATTGCTTCTATTGACGGGTTTTTATCATTTTTTGGTTCTTATTTATTCATGCAAATATTTTTAAGACTAAAGAAACTGCTTCTATTGACGGGTTCTATTTTAGTTTGGTGTGTATTTATTTTTCGTTAGGTAATTGAATTTCATAAAAATATTTTTAAGACCAAAGAAATTGCCTCTATTGACAGGTTTTCATTTTAGTTTGGTTCTGCTGAGCAATCAAATTCCATATAGACATTATTATCGATATTATATAATGCTGCTCAATGAAATTGTTAAAAGTCTTTACAGTATTTCTCTTTTTAAATTAAGTTTATTAAATAAATGTTGATAATGGAAGTATAACAATAATTATTATACAGAATAAGTATATTCTTTATTCTATCTCAAAAGCTACATATTTAAAAAAATGAAAAAAAAAATCTTAACTGATTCTCTTATTATTGTTTTAATATTAATTTAAAAGATATTAAATACCTTCAATGTTTTTAAGATATTAAAAATATTCTTTTTCATTTAATATTTTTTATTAATTACTAATATATATATATATAACAAAATTTTTAAAAGATGTATGTTTTAAGATTAATTTTAAATTAACTCATCTTTATTGCAATTTCTGTATCTTTTAAATAAAATGATTGAATATTCTTGTATTCTCAACGTATAAATACATTTGTTTGCTGATTCTTTTATTTAGAATCCCTAGAATTATCTGAGGAGTCCACTTCCGATATATGACAATACTTAAAAATATTAAATATGTTATATCAATTACCAAACCTACACGTAAAATGACACTTTTTAGGGTGAGTTTGTTTTTTAATAAACAACTAAGACCATATTTATTTTTAATTTAATTTTAAACATCTATAAATTTAACCTACTAAAATTCAAAAATAAAAATAGGCTACCTAAACTTTGATGTTTGAATAATTTAACCAAAAAATTTAAATGTTGTTGGTGCTGTTTGTTAATAAAATTAAAATTTTAATATTATTATATATTATTAAAATAAAATTTGAATTTTAATTAATAAACAACTTCAACAAGAGAACAATATATATATTTTATGTTAACATTAATTGAAAATATATTTACATTTGTGAATTTATGTTGCAAGTAGTAACTCTATTTGCACATGAAACAATATTTTTGTAAAAGTGCATTTATACACAGTTTTGGATGATTATATCATGTGAATGCCCCACTTCATAGCTTACTCAGATATATCCACACCGTTCACGCCACCCTTCATTCATCTATATATTCAATTCTCTCACTCTCTATCTTCTGTAACTTTGCTTCTTCTCTTCAATCAACAACCTTCCTCTGCTAGCTAGTGTGTCCCCCCCCCCCCCCCCTTCTCTTTTCTGCACCAAAATCAGAACCTTAACAGATTTTATTTTCTTTTGAGGATCAATCATGTCTTGCTTAGAGGTCTTCCAAGAGGTCAGTTGTAAGAGGTTCCATACATACATTATATATTAATTTTTTCTGCATTAATTCTTAAGAACTTGAAAGTACTTGTTCTTGTGTCTTGTTTTTTTCTGTGTCTAGCACCACATATATCGGACCCCTTCTTGTCTTTGTCACAATATAGTAATTTGTTGATCATTGCATGCATTTGAGCATGCACATCGGGGTTATCAACAATGAATGCAACAAATACTAAAAAGCCTGGTATCTGTTTCTGTGCTCAAAATCTGTGCAGGGTGAGTTTAGTAGAGAAGAATCTGCTGAAGAGTTCACTCTTGATGGGAGTGTTGATTTGCATGGCCGTCCCGCAGTCAGAGCCAAATCTGGAAGATGGGTTGCTGGAACCATCATCCTCTGTAAGCTCCAAAAACATAAACTGCAGAGCATTTTTTTAAAATATATTTTATTGCTTATTTATTTTTATTTTTGGAAATTGATAAATAATGGTAATGCACTAAATCATGTGTATTAATAATCCATCCCTTCTCTAGTCATTTAATTTACAATAGCTAGTGTTGCGTCCCCGTAAACAGGTAATATAGAAATCGAGGATAGCAACACTATATGACTATTTACCTATTTATTTTTCCTAAATTAAGAAAATACTTTTGTTGAGGGAGAATCCCTTCGTTAGTTAATTACTTCCAAGAGTGAACAATTGAATCTCCATTACTAGGGTGTACAACATTATAAATACATATTAATTGATCTATCTTGTTCTTTGAACTTGTAGTCCCAAGGTTTATAAATAAACCACATGCAAATAAATATATTTGATACGTATACGAATAGTTTATGAATCATGATAAGGTGATACACACTAGTGGCAACCCTGGTAGGCGTAGAAGTTTCAGGAACCTTGTTGAGAAGAAAATTTGAGAAATGAAGCGGTTGTCCACATATACTATATATTTTAGATAGCTTATCATGGATGAGAAGGAGTAAAGGGAGGTTGCTTTTATGTTGGTGAGTTACTACAAAGCGAACATGGTAGCACCTTGCAAGTTATTCATTTAAAATATCAGTTTTGGATAAGAAGGAAACGACAACTTAAATGCAGGAACGTGTTCCATTTGTTATGCAAAATCCAAACGAAACATTTCATTCAGCTTTGTTGCATGCTTTCTCTGTGTGTGCCTGGCAGCTAGTTGCAGCTAGTTACAGCTAGCCCTTCGCTGGCTACCAACACAGTAACTACTACTTCCATCGTAATATGAATCTTTCCAGAGAAGTGATTCAAGAACAACGTTTGTCACATGTCTTATTTTTGGAGTGTATAAGGTAAAAAGAAGAGAAACCGCCAAGAATATGATGCAACGGTTTTTCTTAACGTGAGTCCAATAACATATAATAAAAGAAGTTACAATATTTAACATTGGGTCTTGTGATATTTTAAATTTTTTTTATTTATGTTAAAGAAATCGTTAGTATAATGAAAAAAAGAAGGGAGAATGAAAAAATAAAAATTAAAAAAACTATGTAGAATATGAATATAATTGTGGATATTAAATTAGGTTTTGTTAAGAATGAGAGGGTAGAGATTCTGAGTGGTTCCTGATAGAGGCTTTTGGCTTTGCCTTCTGATAAACGACATGAGGCCGGGAACTGTGGTAACGTGGAAAAGAGACAAATTAAAGTGAGGAAATTAAGCATGCATTTCAGAGAAATACGTTTCTGACACGTAATCAGTGACTGGAAGTTGCATGACGTGGCCCGCTGCCACGTGTCATTAAACATAGACATAGGTGTAACCAGAACCATTAACCACGGATCGAGTGCAAGAGTAAATTTATGTATTAATTAGTGTGTACTGTATAGAAAAAGAGCATATATCATAATTGATATATAGCTAAGTATGTGTTATACAGTTATACTAGCTAGCTGTTTTGGGTTAGTTTGATAAATGCACGCCACTATAGTTCATTCTGAGTAAGAAAATTGGTATAGGTCACCATCATATACTAATTATTTAGAGTCCTGTTTAGGTTATTTATATAAGTCGTGCGTGCTGAGTGTGTGTGTGGAGGATAAGAAATGTTAACAAGCTAGTGCTATGCTTCCATGCAAGTGTAAAAATGTTCGTGGCCAAATAAAACACTTTTATTTCCTTTTTAGTGTGGTCATCGTGATGAAATATTTTTTATTTACTAGTTAATAGTTTAATAGTTCTCTAATGTTATTGAAACAAATTTTGATGTAGTTTATGTTTTAAATTAAAGGAAATAAAGAACTCGTAGTATTTAGATTACATTTTATACCTATTAAGAATTTTTTTTTTTTGTATTAGATGACTTGACATTTTAGAATTGTAATGTATAAATCTATATACTATACATATTTAATCTTAATGTATAAGAATATTGGAAGTAATAGAAATGACTGTTTACTGTAATTTAATTATTCATTATTCTAAATTTTTAAAAATTAGAATCTTTTCTTTGTTTACAAGAGGTTTAGATTATAAACAAATGTAAACAACTTGTGAGATTTTTTTTTTATCAAAATAATATTTCTTTGTGCTGGAACAGATAATTTCTCGTTTACCATATTGTATTGAGATTGTCGTAGTTAATACGTACTTGATTTAACTTATTTTAAATAAATAATGCCTGATAATGGAACCATGCCGATTAAGATTGTTGTTTGTGTATGGAAATAATAAAAGAAAAAGCTTCTATCATCCCAGTCCTAAAAAAGATGAAAATTGTTTGTTCGATGTTACTTTTCTTATTCTTTCTATCAATTGTCAAATTACTTGATATATAAAGAGAGCAGAGAGAATAATTGGGGGTTCTTTTCAACTAGTAAAGTTTAAAATAATTATTTTAAATAGATTTTATTTTTACTTCAATAAATTTTGATTTTTTGATTAGTTAATTGTCTTAGAAAGATAATATTATATGTTTTAGAGAGCGAATGTGCAGAGTTAATAATAATTGATGTGTTAGGAATAATTTATAGTTACATCTAACTGTTAATAATAATAATAAAATTGTTGTGTATTACATATTTCAAAAATCAACATCTGGATCAGTAAAAAAATTCCATGCAGAACAGCAAAAGTGTCTTTTACCTGCGACCCGACCTAAAAGTTCAAAAAGTAAGTTCAGGAATCATGACGTGAAAATTACAATGCTTTTATAAAAAGTAGTAAAATAATAATTTGATTTTTTAAAAATGATTTCTTTTTACAAACCCAGTCATCCAGTGCTGTCTCGCCAGTGAACCCACTACTGATTCGAGGGTGTGCTTTATATAATAAACTTAAAAAATTAATTAAACAACATAGTTTTTATATTTTTAATAATTAATTTTTGACAAACAATTAATATAAACAAATTTTTCAAAAAAATATTCTTTTTTTCAAAAAATTGTACAGCGATTACAAATTTTTTAACTAATGCTGTTGCATGCATATGTAGGGTATTGGTATATAATACTTTTTTTCTTTCTATTTCATTTATTCTTCTACACCTCATTTTATTCCACCACCTGAGCTAGTAGGTATACACTGATTATTTCTGACACTAATTCATATATTTCGGTGACATACCAGCTTTTAAAAGGAAATTGAAATTGATTAAATGATCTAAGCTGATTTTGCTGCCTTGTAAAAAAATCTTTCGCTTTTGCGATGTGTAATCACACCCATACAACATCAGATACCCACATAGATGCTTATCAGTGAGTAATGCATGTAGATATAAGAAAAATATTTGATAGATACTTTTTAGTGTTTAGATATTCGTAAAGAAATAAAGAATGATAGATGTAAATATGAGCAAAATGATTATTATATACTCTATGAATCTATACATCTAAACCTAATGAATGATAGGGAAAAAAAAAGAAATAAAAATATATTACCTGTGATGTGATATGACATGAGAGAGGCAGAGAACAAAAAAAATGAAATGGAAGAAAGCTTACCTCTAAATGCACAATGATGCATGCTAGTGGATGTAATTCTTAAGGTTTTCAATATTAAGAAAATGGTGCTAATGCTGCTTGTTCTGTAATTTGTTGATTGCATTAACCACCAGTGAACCAGGGTCTGGCAACCCTTGCATTCTTTGGTATTGGAGTGAACTTAGTCCTGTTCCTGACAAGGGTGGTGGGCCAAAATAACGCTGATGCTGCTAACAATGTGAGCAAGTGGACTGGGACTGTTTACATCTTCTCTCTTGTGGGTGCTTTCCTCAGTGATTCTTATTGGGGAAGATATAAAACTTGTGCTGTCTTTCAGGTCATCTTTGTAATAGTAAGTAATGCTTCATTTTTTATCCTCCTAATCTTTCTTTGTAATTTCTAGCTGCTACATTAAGTCCTTGCTAATAATCGACAAATTTTTCTGGCTTGATATAACAGGGTCTAATGTCCTTATCCTTGTCATCATACCTCTTCTTGCTAAAACCTAAAGGGTGTGGGAGTGAATTAGTTAAATGTGGGAATCATTCAAGATTGGAGATGGGGATGTTCTACCTCTCAATCTATCTCATTGCCTTGGGGAATGGGGGTTATCAACCAAACATTGCCACATTTGGGGCTGATCAGTATGATGAGGAGCACTCAAAGGAAGGTCACTTAAAGGTGGCCTTCTTTAGCTACTTCTACCTAGCTTTTAACCTTGGTCAACTCTTCTCAAACACCATTTTAGTCTATTTCGAGGATGAAGGAATGTGGGCTCTTGGTTTTTGGCTATCTGCAGGCTCTGCCTTTGCTGCACTGATCTTGTTTCTTGCAGGCACCCCAAGGTATAGACACTTCAAGCCCAGTGGCAACCCTCTCTCCAGGTTCTGCCAAGTCCTTGTGGCTGCATCAAGGAAATCTGGAATTCAAATGTCATCAAATGGAGAGAACTTATATGACATGGATATAAAGGACTCTTCCACCAATTCCAACAGAAAGATTCTCCACACTCACGGGTTCAAGTAAGTTGTACCTGAGGCCGCATGGAATATGCTTTTCCTGTGTTAATAATGTGATCATTTTACTAAGATCATGGCTTTGGCTACAAATTAAGCACAACACAACAGATTTTCATTATAATTTGATCATTCTTGATATTTGATAAATTTGTCTCTTGTTACTGTATTGCAGGTTCTTGGATAGGGCAGCATTTATATCTTCAAGAGATGTAGAGGACCAGAAAGGTGCTGGTTACAACCCGTGGCAACTCTGTCCTGTAAGTCAAGTTGAAGAGGTGAAGTGCATACTGAGACTTCTTCCAATTTGGCTATGCACCATAATATACTCAGTCGTTTTCACACAAATGGCTTCTCTTTTTGTGGAGCAAGGTGCTGCCATGAAAACCACAGTTTCCCATTTCAGAATACCACCAGCTAGCATGTCTAGCTTTGATATCCTGAGTGTAGCTGTGTTCATTTTCTTTTACCGTCGAGTTCTTGATCCATTTGTCGGAAAGCTTAAGAAGTCAGATTCTAAGGGACTTACAGAACTTCAGAGAATGGGAGTTGGACTTGTTATAGCTGTAATGGCAATGGTTTCGGCTGGAATAGTTGAAATCTATAGGCTTAAGTATGCAAAACAGGGGTGCACCAATTGCAATGACACGAGCACTTTGAGCATCTTCTGGCAAATCCCTCAGTACGCATTTATAGGAGCTTCTGAGGTGTTTATGTATGTAGGCCAGTTAGAGTTCTTCAATGCTCAGACACCAGATGGCTTGAAGAGCTTTGGAAGTGCACTTTGCATGACGTCCATTTCCCTTGGGAACTATGTGAGTAGCTTACTTGTTAGTATGGTTATGAAGATCTCCACCGAGGATCACATGCCAGGCTGGATCCCTGGAAACCTCAATAAAGGTCACCTAGATAGGTTTTTCTTCCTTTTAGCTGCCTTGACATCGATAGATTTGATAGCCTATATTGCATGCGCAAAGTGGTACAAGTGTATACAGCTGGGCGTTAAAAATGAAGAGAATGATGAGCCAGATAACTTCACAGTATAATTTGTGAGGCATATGATTCAAAGGTAATGGCATATTTATAATAAGAGAAAGAAAGGAGCAATCTTGGTTATGTTAACCGTTGGAAGAAATAATTTGCAGATTTGCAGGAGGAGAAGCCCTTCTTACACGAGTCTCTGACTCTTCAACTTCACTCACTGTTTTTACGCTCAAATATGTTCTTAAAGCGCAGCACTGTGTAAAGCAAAACTCTGACGAGACAATGACTGTTTTAGGGTCCCTAGAAACCTCCCTTCTTTTTCATTTTTAAGTTCCATTGTTGAAGATTAAATATGTTATTTGGATTTGTGAGTGTGACGTGGTTCCGACTATATACACGGCTATGCTTCCCTCCCCAAAGCTAACACAAGATTTTATTGTCCTTGATGTCTGGTACTTCTGTCCCAAACAAACTAAGCAATCATGGACAATCCACTTATTAAGGCAAAAATCTCGAAAGATACAGAGAAAGAGAAATTTTTAGTAAAGGCTTTCTAATATTTTTAGATTTTGCTGATAGAGCGGAATCATCCAAACAGAATCCGAACTAGCTGTAGCACACCCAATATCATTACAGCAAAATGTGGACAAGCAAATAATTCTACATAGCGTCACTAACAAAGAACAGCAAAAAGCAGTAACTTACATTGCTGGCATTATATTTGACAAGATAAATTCTGGATAATAACAATTTTAGAAAAAGACGACATAAGTGTGTGATTTAAGAAATTTACAAAAATGCACTTTAGGGTGCCAACAATTACCCAAGCAACAATTCAATATTCGGCAAATTTGTCGCAGTAGTAACCAGAGGAATTAACAAGAATATTTATGGTCCACAGACTCAAATTTTGCATTGTCAAAATGTGGGAATAAGGTGAAATGAAATAACCATTCCTAATCCGAAGTTTAGCCTTGTTAGTCATCAACTCAATTCAATTCCAACAAGCTTCGGTCACCATTTGGAATAAGAGATACCGATTTGGTCTGTTTTCTCCTTGGACAAAACTTGTGTGCTGTTTTATAAGTGCCGTAAATGTTGTTGACTAATTAAAATTAGAATTTTATTTTAATAAAAAATTATATTTAATGCCATCGCATGTTATCGAAGTAAAACTCTAATTTTGATTGGTGAATAGTACCAATAGCACTTTTGAAGCTGCACTTAAGTCTTGTCCTTTCTCCTTTCGAAAAATAGGACTAGGCATAAATTATCCTTTTGTTCCTTTAGTTTTTTTTTTTTTTTTTAATCTTATTTTGATATGTAATGTCACCTCTGGTGCATATAGACCAAAAAATTGGCAAAGGTAGTTCAAACAAATTAAAAGATAAATAAATTAGAAAGGTTATCCCAGTGCATGTGGCTTCCAAGTCTCACCGTTGTGGGATATAAGGGTCAGACGTACACAATCTTACCCTAGATAAAACATCAAGATGACAAGTGTGTTTAACATATATAGTCATAAAAGAACTTCATGGAGGCTATGGCAATTCCTTATCAACAGTCACTATTTGCGTTATCCAAACATTGGTGTTTCACGTGCATAATAGGCATAACTATGATTCAGAGTAAGAATAACTCGTTATAAGTGAGCGGGAAAAAAAACTGTACACTTATGAGGAACAACGACTCTTCAAAGAAGAATTTTATCCATGGACCTCACGAACTTGTATGTGGTGAGTGGATTCCTCACGCCAGATTGGTTGTGCTCCACTTTGTACAATAGTAACATGCTGTCCCTCATGTAAATGACCCTTAGTCTGAAACATGGAAAATTTTCAGCGACATTTAAAAGAAAATAGAAGAGGAATATTTGTGCATGTGATGGAGATATTACTCACCAATAATAACTTGAGGGCTCTAGAGAAGGTCTCCTCTGCATCATTTGAAAATTGCATGTATATGGGCATAACACCATGATAAACTGCCAACCTCTGCTTAATCCTTGCTCTGCAAATAGTGAAATCATTAAATTTGTCTACGAAAAAGAACATCAACTTAAGCACCTATACCAAAAGAAAAAAAGAATTAGAAAGCAGAAAAAGACAAGAAAAACACTGCCTATGTTGGGTGGTGCTCAGAGTTATACGCTTCATTTTTTCTTCTTCCTGTATTCTTTGTATTTTTGGTGTTTGGGGGAAGGGTTGTTTGTATACATAGCCCCTAGCAACCCCTTAGATTAGATGTAAGTAGCATAAATATCATTGTTTTTGGTGAAGGGGGCTCCATCTATGGTAGGATAAAATTTCACTTAGCTGGATTCCTGGAATTGAACCAGATTGATCAAAGGTGCAAGAGAAACATTATAGAATATTAAATTTGAAGACAAGACACGTGTCTAAAGGATTATCCTTATTTAATCATACACAAAAAAAAAAAATACAGCTTGATAACTCTAAATAATCAGATAATTGGAACGGCACTTGAGTTGGCAGGAGAAATGCTAGACTTTACTCATGATAATATTATAAATATGCTCAAGCCCAGAAAATTTGCTAGTTATTTTCAAAACATAAACAAGTACTGTTCCACCAAAAAAAGCACCAAGAACACAACCAAGGTACAGGGGAAATTTATCAACTGAATCTATCTATTTTATATATAATAAAACATACATGCTGGGTACTACTCACTCATTTGTGAATGCAAATATTGTTGAGTACGGCCTGTAATGGCTCAAAAGAATAGCCATGGATCCTGTTCTGGTGAAAACAATAATAGGAGTATTAAGAGTGTTAGACATTGTTGTTGCATGGAAAGCAAACATTTCTCCCATGTTGCTCTGTAAACAAGTAAACACAAATTAATTAGATCTTGGGATATCATCTATCATCAATGAAACATAGCAATAAATCTTGTACCAGTGAAACAAGACAAGACTGACATGTATGTTACAAGGAGACTTATTTAATAAAGCACATACTTTATGGGGATTCAATTGACTTGGATAAGCAGCATCACTTCCAACACTGGATTCATTCCTATGAGCCACCGCCCGCATGACTTTAACAGCTTTCAAAGGGTATCTGAAGCAGTTGCATTCCTCTTAAGACAATTTTATTAAATTTAAAATATTGAAAAAGAAAAACATCAAATGCATAAATTCATCAGAACACAAGACACACAAGGTAAAGCATCCTTATGTTACCAAGTTAATAAGAATGAATGACACACATCTTTAAATGGAAAACAGTTCTGTATGAATCACGATAATCTACAGATACAAAAGGTTGACAAATTAGGATTTTGTAGCCAATTTAGGACAAGAATATCTTTTTCTTATGACAACCCCCCCACACCAAAACATTGCAGTCCAAAAAAGATAAGTCAGCCAATCATAAACCACCAAAATCATTTTATTGATGCACATTATTGATAAAAAAGGACTTGGCCATTTTAAAAAACCCTCAATTCAGGTAAGCAATTCCTCTTTGTTGGACATGCAGAGAGATTGCTAAGCTTTGTTTGGTTGACATTCCTTTCTGTTTGATCTTATTTTTTCGGTTTTGCCTAAGAGGATATATAATCTCCCAGTCTTGTACTTCTTTCACTCTCTTTTCTAATGATACTTCTTTTATCTGAAAAGGCAAAGATCTCTTATGCATTACAAATAGTAAAAAATGAAAAATGACTAAAGTTTGAACAGCTAAAATAAAAAAGAAGTATTGGAACCAAGGTCACCAAGGAACAGCAAACTCACTTTCCATGTGCAGTTTCACCAGAAAGCATGATAGCATCAGCACCTTGCCTTACTGCAATTGCAATGTCTGAGACTTCTGCCCTTGTTGGTGTGGGATGATTAATCATGCTTTCGAGCATATTTGTTGCCACAATTACGGGCTTTTGCATACTGTGACATCTTCTAATGATGTCCTCCTGTTTGATTAAAAAAGCAGAATGAATTAAATGGAACACAGAATTAAACATAGTCCCACTTCCTAAATACCAGTGAAAAGAGAAACATAATCATTCCAGCAATAAGTAATGCAAAAAGTAAGAAACAGCTTATTTTATGTGGACTTGATATGAAAAAACTACTATAAACAGAGAACAGAAACATGAATTTGAAAACAATAGATGTCATAAAATAAGAGTTCGACCATGTAGTTTGGGTAAATTGTTACATGAGTTGATATCAGTGGGACATAATATAATGTTGAAACTTCGTTGCTTACTCACACACGATTGATTGATTGATTTAATTCAATAGCCACATATAAGCATTTCCTTTTATAGGTTAAGTTTTAAATATACAACAATAACAACCAAGCCTTATCCCACTAGGTGTAAGGTTATGTTTTAAATATAACAATATAAAAATGAAAAATTCACCAAAAGAAACAACATTAAATACTTTCAGTTGGTTGCATCATAACATCATACATTTTTCTCAAATCTCAAATGGTGGAACCCACCTTTCATATTGCAACTTGTCTCACAAAAATGTGGTTATTCACTAACAGCTTTGTAGAGTAGGCTATGCAGCTTGCAGTGTAGGTATCAACAATTTTAGGCAGTGTCCTTAAGCAATAATGAGAACTTCTACAGCTTTATTTAAATATCTATGTTGAATTTGAGATTTAAGCCTAACTCAACCCCAAAAGTTAGTTCATAAGCTGAGGATTGGTTTAGTCTTTATAATAGTCAATGGGAGACTTCAACACACCTCCTCACACTTAAGATTTGACATCTAGAGCATGCAAATTGTAGTACTTATTTTTTTTTTTCAATATAGCATTGGATTAGCCGTAGGACCAGATAGGTAGCAGTGGAAAAGCTGCAGGACCATGTAAGTTGCATAGAGAAATCCATAGGATTAGGTTAATTGCACTAAAAAAAATTTGTGGGGTCAATTTTTTTTTTTTCAGTCAAGGGTGGCCTAATATCAAATCTATGATAAACTTTGATACCATGTTGAATTTGGATTTTAAGCCTAACTCAATTCCAAAAGCTAACTTGTAAGGTAAAGATTATTTAGCCTTTATAAGCTCTTATTTAGACATATCTACAGTAGAGTGTGGAAATTGTACAACTATTTTTTTCATCAATAATCTACCTGGGTTCTGCATATCACTTGGTGGATAAGATATCCTTTGACACCCAATGACCTCCTTCATAGACAATTTTTTGGTTTGGAAATTAAAAAGATTAAACACCATCAACACAGACATATATTTATTGTGTTTAACAGGCTCTATATCACCCATTATGAAAGGTAAGATTACAGTTGGGGAAGGCCATAGTTGATAGGTCACTGTACAAACAGCAAGAGAAGGGCTTTCCACAAAATTGATGCTTGTGACTATCAGTATCATCCTACAAGGTAAAATTCATAACAGCTAATGAAGTTGCTCCATACATCACATGTTACTCAAAGCATCATGTTACCTGCAATAGAGGAACTTCCTCTATTGGAAGTTCAGCTCCAAGGTCCCCACGAGCAACCAGGGCCTGCAAAATAAATAAAACTCTCAAAATGAAACCGGATGCTACATACAGATAAAAGATCTTACTTTGATTCGTAATATTGAATAACTTCCAAAGACTTCCACCAAAATAAAGACTAAAAAGGTGTTGGAAAACCCATTAGCTGGTGTATACCAGTTCAGAGTAAACCTAATGGTAAAATCAGTTGAAGTTGAAGTTTTCACCATAGTATAGTATTATATTTTCTTAATTTGGCACTTGTCAAACATTATTTTTTCTGTTATTTACCTCTAAAGAAATCTACTATAAATGTATGAATAGAAAATATGATTGTTGTTGAGTATCTGTAAGTTTAATTGTGGATATTATACTAGAAATCACCCGCATACTTTCCAAAAATTAATCGAATAATCTTCACTATGCCTACTTGGCTGGTATTCTGATATGTAAATCATGAAAAAAAAATATTATCAACCAATAGTGCAGAAACAAACATGCAACACAAAACCACCATTTGTCCATTATTTGTCCTGAAATTATGCAAGCAGTGTATACGCTATCATCAGACAATCACCACCACAACATGATTGCATGAAATGGCAACCTATGTTAAAAAGGGTAGGGATCATAATCCAAGAAGTGCACCATCATATGATGCAGAAGAGATATCATGCGTGCACAATTAAGAGGGGATAAAAATACAGCAGCTTCTAATCAATCTATATTCCTTCATTTGCTCAAGATGCAACTATGTTCCTCTTATACCCCATGCAGAATATGACACATCTTGCTGAGATTTTGAAGAATAAATTTGATAGGCTGATCAACTTACTCCATAAAACATCAAACTCATTACTTGAATTTGTGCCTTATACAAGGAGTAAAGAGAATTTTCAAATCCTCTCTTGTAGAATAAGTGATAAGATTAACTAGAAATATTCCATTTTCAGTTCTTTTTCAGGTACTATTTTTGTAGGAAGCATAAGTAATAGAAGTATAGAAATGCTATTCATAGTAAATATCTATTCCTCCATGTATGAATTCCAGTACTTATATGTTCAATACTACTAACTAGTCCAAAATAAATAAATAAAAATATTTGGCAGAAAAATAAGAGATCACCAACATAATCTGAACAGTACAAAACTAACCCCATCAGAAGCTGAAAGTATTGAATGAAGATTTGGAATGGAATCTGCACTTTCAATTTTTACAATCACGTGTATATCAGCATTATGACCTAGAGCAAAAGGTACACAATAATTTAGTTCTAAAGAGAAGTAATAATACCCCAAGAAAGAAGAAATTTACACACAGATGCACACACCAAGATATACAAGCATAGAAAGGAAATGAGACAGCTTAAAAATTACTTTTGAGGTATTCTTTTAACTCGTGAACTACTCTAGCATCCTTGACAAATGAGAGGGCATAGAAGTCTACTTGATTGTCCACCCCAAACTTGATATCTTCCCAGTCCTTGTCTGCAAATTTAAAACACAAGGCAACCAGGCATAAAATTGTCAGGTGCATTTGCATACTGTGTCTTTCTCTAGCTACAAGTGAATGACTGAAACTTAATGCATGTACAATGTTTTAATGGTGAATAAAACAGAATCATACCAGTTATGGAAGGAAGTGTTGCACTTTTTCCACGGACATTTAAATGACGCCTAGATTTCAGTTCTCCACCATCAATAACTTCACATTTAACCGAGTCTTTTGTCTTTGACTTAACAGCAAGAGACATCATTCCCCCTAAAATAGCAATAAGAAGATATTATAAACCTCTTTATAGTTAAAATCAGGGGTTATGCAAAAATTTAATAACTTCCTCGTTAAAATACTGCTGTCACAAAAATATGTTATTTAAATTGGAGGATTTCTTTAATGGTAGTTCAGGCATGGTTAGCAATCAACTAAGACAATAAATGGGAAAACTTTCACCCAATAAAGCAAGATGGAAATCATGGAACAGTGACAACTGTGTGCACAGATAACAAAGTCAACCATAGTATAGTAAAGCTTTTCCACCAACAACATGACTCCAGAAAACTTATCTTAAAAATGGTCAACTCCATGGCAGTTAGATCACGAATGTAAGCATCAATCCATTTTTCTAAGATTGTAGTGTGTGTGTGTATATATATATATATACAACATACATACCATCAACCAGTAAGACGTCTCCAACCTCGACATCATTGACAAAATCATCATAATTGACGCTAACGGTGTCTTGTGTGCTGACCCCTCTCCTAATGGTCAAATTGAATTCTTGACCCTCTTGAAGTAAAATTGGTTGAGGTACATCCCCACTTCTAACTTCAGGACCCTGCAAAGCAAGTAAGTTGACGCACTTACATCAACAGCACATGAATTACGTAAACAAGAATTGAGAACAGAGGTAGTGAGGGATTGATTGACCTTGGTGTCGAGCATGATGGCTAAGACCTTATCTTGAAATTGAGCGTTGTATTCCTTTACCAAATCAATAGTTTTCTGGTGCGATGCGTGGTCCCCATGCGACATGTTCAAACGTGCCACGTTCATTCCCGTTTCAGCCAGTTTCCATATCATGTCACGTGAGCTTGTAGAAGGACCTATTGTGCATACAATCTTAGTTTTGATGCGCGCGTCTGAATTTGCCTCTCCCTGCTCCGCTCCATAGTTACGGTCAAGGCGAGAGTTCGTGTGGCCCTAGCAAATTCAAGAAGAAAGGAAGGACAAGTTAGAGAATGGAAGGTGAAATTAGTTTGAAGACAGAGAAAAAGAGAGCAAGTTACGACGGTTGGAGAGCCGTTGGGGGAGGTAGTTTGGGTTGCGTGGGCGTGGTTGGTGATCCTCCAAGTTGGAGGTAAGCGTGAAATGCATTTGCTTCGGCGTATGGAGGGAGAGGAATCGGATTTTAAGAAAGACGCAGCGGAAGAAACATGAATTTGAATGGTTGCCATCATCATCGTTGATTCCGTTACACTTACGCGAGAGAGAGAGAGAGAGCAATACAAGCATCCAAAACAAGTCTACCTTCTATTTTGTTTGTTCCAGTTCCAGCCAACCACTGCCATTCGCGTGCTCTCGTGTCGTGTGCGGGAAACACCTTCTCTTCCTATTTCATGTCTTTCCATTTAATGAATTATATAAATATTATAAAGAATTTTTTTAACCTTCAATACTATATATAATAGATTTTTATTAGAAATTATAATATTTAGTAATGTGTAATCAATGTTTTGGACGTTAAAAAATCGTATTATAAAATAATTTTTTGTCTACTAAAATAAATTTTTTTATTTTTTTTCAGAAAAAAGTAGAAAAAAACTGGCGTTTGGGCTCAACGAATAGTGTGGCCCAAACACGAGTTCCTCGTCATCTTCTCTGTCTGGTGTTGGCATGGTGGTTCTGTTTCACCTTTCATTCTAGTTCCAACTTCACCTTCTTCTGCAAATATGAAGCTGTCCCTCAAGTTTCAGGGCGAGGATGAGAATCAAAAGAGCACCCAGTCACAAATTATGAGCGCAAAGGTACCCATTACTATACTTAACAACCCCTTTATTTCGGGAATCACAGCCACCACCGCCACCGAGTTTTCCTTCTCACTCTCCACCAATTATCAATCGGGTCCATCCCTCAGAGTCTCTTACTCCCCAACCTCCTCTCTCCCTTTCTCTCTCTCGCTGAAATCGGGGTTGGGTATTTTGGGTTCTCCACGCCACTCTCCTCTCGTCTTCTCCGCCAATTTCTCTCTCTCCCCTACCCACCCTCCGTTCCCTTCTTTCTTTCTACACTTCAAACCCCAATTCGGTCACTTCTCTCTCAACAAAACAGTCTTCTCTGACCCCAACACCCACCCTCTCTCTGTCTCTCTTCCTCCCCCACCTTCTTCCCCTGAAATCGAAAAGAGGTTTGTGCCTGACGGCGCTTCCTCGGCTTGGCAGGATTTGAAATTGGAGCCTCGTGGTGCCAGAGACAAATCAGACCATGATTGTATGGACAACTGCGACGTTGGGAAGAAGAACGATGCAAAATATGGTGGTGTCGTTGGGGTTAGGGTTATGGCTCGGACGGTGATGCCCGTTACGAAAGGGTTCTTCTTGAATTTTCGGTGGGGTGTAAATTTTCCGGGGAATTTGGGATCGAAAATGCCGTATTTGACGGTGAACAAGATAGGGTTCGAGAGGGTTGAGGAAGCCAAAGAGAATAATAATAACAAACAGAGCAGGGACAGGGACAGTTCTGACACGGATTTGCAGGTGTTGAAGGGTATGTGTTTTTGGATGAGAAGGGACTTGGAGATTGTTGAAAACGAAAATAGGGAGATGAAGAGTGTGTTGGATGAGATGAAAAGGGATGTTTCCAATGGTGTTACTGGAAAGAAATTGAGTGAAAGCTCTGGGGAGTTTCAACGTTGGAGAAGCAGCAACAAGAGTGGAAGACAAGAGGATGAGAAAAAACAACCAAACAAGTCACAAAGCGTGGCGGGTGATGTGGAATCAGAGTTGCAGAAAGCCATAAAGGCCGCTACCTCTTAGCAAGGTTAAGGTCGTTACCACTTTTTTTAACACTTCCTAAGTTTGTCTGCCTTGCCTTGCAATATGTATAAAATCTCAGCTTCTGTTTCTTACTTGATGTCAAGTGTAATCAGATATTTTGTGTTGCTGTTGATGGCAAAAGATGGAAACAACCTTGTTATTTTTGTAGCTATACGTTGTGCAGACTTTAAATTCCATCACTGACCAGGGAAGCTGCATTTTGAGGATGTACAATATCTACGACTAGGTGATGTTCAATTGCAGCATCAGCAGTTATAATATTTGGTTTACATAACGTGATTTACCATAGATCAGAATGATCGTTTTGTTGTCTTTAAATCAATCACAGACCCGCAACCGGAGGTTGCAAGGGGCTTTATTTCTAGAGGTGATTAGTACGAACACCATTCCAGTTGCAGAGAAGAACTAATCTTTCTGTAGTAAACCTGTTGGTTGTGTAAAACTATTTTTCTTAACACAGTTTTTCAATAATTAGTAGTGTGTTATGATAATTTATTTATTCAATAAATGTCTGCTTTACTTCAGACCCAAATTTTCCTTCTCAATTCTTATCAATTTTATCGACTTCTCGCTCGTTATGTTGTCATCCGCATTTATCAATGTTTGATATAATTTGGCATATTAGTACCTAGTTTCAGTAGTTTGGTTTCATTTTTTTTAATTTTAAAAATGTTATTTTACTTTTAAATATTTGTGTAAGAAATAGTAAAGTAACCCTTCCTGTTGGTTGAACAAATGATTCTGGAGTATTAGTCAATAAAAATTGTGTTGCAAAGCGTGTCTTATTAACATTTTTTTTATTTAAATAACATTTTATAGAGGTCCACTACAATTTAAACTTAGCTCTATTAATGTAGTCATGTCACACGAAAATTATTTTTACAAAAAATTAGATATAAAGTGAAATTGTTTTTTCTTTTAATATCAATTTATAGGATTTACTGTATATGACTGTTTTATTATAAATTCATAAATTATTCGAATACCAAAAAGATTACAGAAAACATTTGATGATTATTTTAAATTAATATTCTAAAACTACTTATTAACAAGGATTAAAAAGTTAAAAGTTATATTAATAACATACTCTTTAACACATTATTTGTAATATACTATTTATTATTAATTAAAATTTATTAAAAACTAAAAAAATTATGTAAGTTTCCTCTTTTTTATTTTAAAATAATATTTTTTCTTATATTTTTAAATTTTTAATAAATTATAATAAATAATTAACAGCGTGTTGCTAGCCTTTCTCAAAAATTAAAATACAATCAATTTTGTAACTTATTTTATCTCACTATAGAACGGGCTTGTAATATACCAACTTATAGGCCCAATTATTTATACGCATTAATTTGAAAAGTCCAAGTAGGAGGCGTTCCAACCCGTTCCTGTAGTTATAGGAATGTGCATGAAACCCTATTCTCTATCTATAAATTGTGACAAAGAGCCCAGTGTTACTCATCCAATTCTTTTTAGTTTTGTTGAGAGGGAAAAGCGAAGTGACGATAGCAATTCATTTGCCTGTGAATCCGCTGAAACTAGCGTGATGTATTCCTCAATCCCGACAGGTTCTGATCGCTACCTTCATTCCCTCTCCAATCTTAGCTTTTAATTTGAGGTGATGCAAGTTAGCTAGTTTTAACTATTTTTCTCGTTTGAAATCGAAGCGGTAATGGGCATGTGATGAATCTCATCGTAACAAATGGGTAATTTGCGTCTGAATTAAATTCTTTGATGCTATATCACCTTGGAAACCTGATGCCCTCTATTTTTCTAACATTGTTTCCTCCTTTCGTTTTTTTTTTTTTTTTTTGGGGGGGGGGTTGGGGGGATATATTTCTCTGCATTAAAATCTTTGTTTTGACTATTTCTTTTAGCAAGAGTTACGTTTTTCAAACTTACAAATAGAATATGTTTTTAGCTTGCTTAATTTTGACTCTTGAAAAAGGTTTTCTCGTGATATTAACTTCAGGAACTTTTCTAATGCACTTACAAGTTACTATTATTTGATACAATTTTTTGGTAAATACTATAAATTGATAATATAAAGCATCTAAGACATGCAAAAGAAAAATAAACGAAACACTAGCACTCATGTGAGTTGACGCTTTTTTTTAAAGCTTCTGCAATGGGTGAAAAAATCGAAATTTTTTTTAACAAACATGAAGAAGCACCAATTTTGTTGCCAAATATATAATTATATAGCTCCTTCAATTGTCAGGTGATGGGTGATTAAGTTCATTTTTAATATAGGAATTTATATTCTCAATGACAGCTAATAATGTTAGCTTTGAATAAGTCTATTACAAACCATATGCAATCCATAACAACTAAGCATTGACAAACCTACAGCTCCTCCTAATTTCTCCTTCATTTCCTGTAAGCACATTGATGCTTCCCATCTTAATCATAGATTTTGCAAATGATGTAAAGAAAAGCTTTTCGTTGGAAGCATATGCCCACACCTGCTCCGTAATCTTCCCATCGAAGTCTTGGCTGATCAGAACATTATCAGAACCTAACAAGCCCTTCCCTTCAAGAATGTTTATGTAGTAGTGGTTATCAAACCTCTTCGGGGTTTGAAAATCCAATGGTGCAAATCTGTTGTCCCTTCCCGAAACAGGGCATATGGACCGCAGGATTCTCCTGAAACTTGTGTATCTCTTATAGCGATCATAACCATAGTGATATTCCTGTTTTGCTTCATATATCCTCTGCCTGAAGCTTAAACATCTTGCCCTTCCTATAGTATGGCTACCTGTTTTTGTCAAGTAGGAACTCTAACGTGATTCGGTGCTTCTGTGAACATAATTATACAAATAATATTAATATGCAATTATATATACACCTATAATGATACCTGATAGAGCCACCAAATCTTCTATGTCCAGGCCCTGTTGCTTAAAATTAGCAATGAGAACCTCTAAAGAGGAATTTGGAGCGGGTATGAATAGGTTAGCTCCGCTGAAACTTGACTCAAGAGAATCCTTCCTTCCTAGGAAGACGTCCCATCTTGGTCCTCCTCTCTTCAAAATCAAACAATAGGAATTGTTGTGAAGAAAAATATATTTCCATAATAAGTAACAACATCCGTTTGATCCCCAAGTTAAAAGCATTTTTCCTTTGAAACAATGTCTTCCATGTTAGTTTGATAAACGGATATCTGGAAAAAAAACTATATAGAACATACAAAAATAGCTTATTATCCTTACAAATTTTTTAATTTGTTTTAACGAAGTTTATGATTAAAACTATGTTATAAACTCTTGTATGATAAGAATGTATCAAATAAATATTTAATTGAATTATTTATTCAAATCGTAGACGATCTGTTTGAGCTATTAAATCATCTTTGCCCCTTAAATAATGTAGGGAATTTAATTGAACCAGATGCTTACCAATTCAACTGCATCACGTGCAGCCATGGCAAGGATGTCGGCACATGAAACAGTGACAGGACATTCCTCTTCTAGCAAATACTTAATCTTGTCTATGATCTCAAATCCACGTAAAGAGTTAATATTTGGTCCAGCCAGCTTTTCACTTTTCATACCCTCAACGCTGTCCAAAAGCACCGATGCATCGCACCCCTTATTTTCAACAGCCGACAACACAACACTATTTACATTAAACAAACTAATAATCATGTGTCATAAAAATGCATATATGGTTAGTACCATACCATGACAAAACAATCGTGGAAGTGTAAGCGAAGTAGTGAGGCTGCCAAACGAGGATCTTTCAAAATTTCCACTTCCACGTTTTGTCTCACGATGTCTTCAGTTAAGGGACACTTCTCCTTGTAGTAATCGTGAACAAGAAGCTCATCACCGCCTCTCAGAGTCGGTGTGTTGAACAAAATAGAAATTAAGATCAACAATAGTCTCTTACGCTCCATTGAAGGAAATGATGAAAAATCGTAGTGGGGATGCTGCACCAGTCTTTTGCTCAATGTGTGTCGAGTGAAAGCTCTGATAAAGATGTTTTATTGTATCGTTTGTTAGTGTTATCTCTACATTTTCAAACCAACCTTATGGTGGAGAATTTTCCCAGGTGCTTTCGGTTTCACCTAGAGTTGATGCAACCAACTTGACTTTTTTTCTTTAAATCCTGTTTTGGAGATAACTTGGATTGGTTCATTTCATGACGGAGAACATATACGAGTATACAAACTTGTACATTTATGAACGAATTCCCAAGATTCTGATGTATATTTTTTCATAAACTATACAAATTTTAATTATGATGATATTCTTCTGTTAGGAGAGTTAGTGTTGAGTGTATGTTATTGTTTTCTATGCTCAGCGTTAATAGTTAATACTCAAGGTCGGTACAAGACTCCAAATCTTGAGCACATAAAAGCAAAGCCTGGAATTTTCATGGATTAGGTTGGATTTGATTTTCATCTAATTTATATGTTCGATTATACTGATAAATCTCATCCAAATGATCAAATTTAAATGGCACACAACCTTAATTATTTTCGGCTTTGAGTTTTTTTAGGTGAGGAGTACAATTTGAAGGATAAGATGCATTTATTAAAAATCAATGGTTGATATTTATATAGTGCAATTATTTTATACGTAATGCAATACGCAGCATGCATTAGAGGTTTTCAAGGACATAATTTGAGATTGGGGAACAAAGGATGGCAACAAGAACTAGGGCTTAATGATTAAAATAATACTTTTTTAAAAATTAATTATCAAAATAAAGTAAAAAAAAACTTATTCCTTGTTTGGAGCATATTTTTACCACGTAAAGAGTAGTTTCGTATTTAAACTAGACAAAATTAATTTTTTTATTATTTATTTAATCATTTCATTTAAAAGAGAGACGAAACACACCACAAGTTGACACGTGTTAATAATTTCGTATAAAAGAAGGACGAAACAATAGGATCTCAACACGTGTCAATATCTTGTTAAATTCGTCTCAAATTAAGACGAAACTATTGAACATTGACACGTGACTTGCTTTAATTAAATTTGTCTACGTTTAAGACGAAATATGTTTTACCTGTTGCCCAACCGACTATCACTGCGCTCAAAAATTGTATACATAGTAAACATTGATTTTTACAATTTTTGGGCGCAGTGATAGTCGGTTGGGCAACAAGTAAAACATATTTCGTCTTAAACGTAGACAAATTTAACTAAAGCAAGTCACGTGTCAATGTTCAGTAGTTTCATCTTAATTTGAGACGAATTTAATAAAATATTGACACGTGTTGTGATCCTATTGTTTCGTCCCTCTTTTATACGAAATTATTAACACGTGTCAACTTGTGGTGTGTTTCGTCTCTCTTTTAGATGAAATGATTAAATAAATAATAAAAAAATTAATTTTGTCTAGTTTAAATACGAAATTACTGTTTATGTGGCAAAAATTTGTCCCAAACATAGAATAAGTTATTTTTTTACTTTATTTTGGTAATTATTTTTTAAAAAAAAATTATTTTAATCATTAAGCCCAAGAACTAGACGTATAAAGCATATATGTCAAACGAAGTGGTAATACGAAGAAATTTGCAACAATCAGGCAGAAACCAGCAAGTCATTAATAGTTCGAAGTTCATTGTTCAAATCAATATTTGTTTACATAGAACTTGTCTACTGTTACAGAAAAACGACCCACCCCCAATGTTTATTGTCCAAAGATAAAACAAATGAGACTCATTGATAAGGCCAAAATCTAATAATGGTTATCACTAGAGAGTAAGGATGGCAAAAAAGGGCCCAATAATCTTTCTTTTGTATGACTATATACAGTTTCCTGTTTTAACTATCTCAACTCAATGGCTTTCTATGTAACTTAGATAAAGTGCTTCATATCCCAATTAATCTCAAAGGAGGCTTCGCTCAGCGCTAAGTTGAGAAGAGTACTCCTTGAATTTCATGTCAATCTTTTACCTTTAACAACCTGCGGGAGAAAAAATCCATGTTTACACATGCATGCAAGCTAAATCATAATACCAAAGCAATCTCCAACACCCTGTTAGCAATCGCTAAGAACCGTATATTTTTTCGCTAATGCTAGAAAGCAAACTCATCTGTTACTTTTCCAGTTAACTATATAATCGTTTTGAACAAGTGGGAATATTTTATCTTTTCTTAAACATATAAAAAAAATTGACCATTTTTACTTGTAGGTTATATTTGAGTCGAACAAATTAAGTGGTCAAATTAATGTTTTGAACTGAATTATATCATGGTCAACCAAATCATATATTTGAAATGCACCATGGTGGATTAGTCTTTTTCTATATTATCTATCTAAAAACACATCCTACATAACGTGTCATGAATTGGATTGTTGTAAGGAAAAGATGGCAAAATAGAAAAATATATTTACCAGTATTTAATATGATTATATTTCTCCATCTTCATCCAGGAAGATCTCTGGGTGTACTACTGCACTAGTGACATTTAGAGCTCTTTTTAGCTTCCGATGGTTAAATACTTCAACTTCAACCAAGAAGGTTGAACTAACTGGTCGATGATCTGAGAGCTTAATTTCTGCACGTCCATATTGTAGTTGCTTTATTCCTTTTCCTAGCCACAATATACGATCACACCTGCATAATCTTTACCCAGTTGAACTCTACACCTTACTTTTCCTACTTAATAGTTATATGATATGTACCAACAAATTATTCTAAATTGGTAATCTTGTCTTGCACTTACCAGGCTGGAGATCTCTTCTTTTCCCCTTCTTTTGTGCTCTCACCTACATATCTATCAGTGTTAATTTCATACTTGTAAGTGGGTGGGAAGTTTATCAACCCCTCTCTCCATCCATCAAACACATGCCCAGTACGCAATTCTTTGCTTAGCTACAAAAGTGGGTGAGGAAGTTATTTAGGATAACTTGTATTTAATTAAAAAGAAACAGAAAATAAAATAGTACAGTTGCCTGTCTTGGTTATTGGTAAAGAGCAGAAAGATGAAAATAAACCCCAATTTGACTCTTCCTTGAAATATTAGCGATACTAAATTAGTTCTTAAAAGATAATTTGTTTATCAAATCATATTAATTTAATCTCGATTAACAGTAAATCTTAGACTACTTAATGCCACAGACACTGTTCAACAATTAAATTGTTGTACTTTTTCGAGTATTAAAGTGTTAATGAAAAAAATTATTGACTAAAATGGGGTTTATTGAGAAGTTCACTTCTTCAAGATTGGCCTAATTAATAGTTATTTACCCTTCACGTGATTGCTGAGTAATTTGGATTCCTAAGCCACTATCATATGTAAATAATTTGAATGGAGCACTTTATCAACTATACATTTTAATATATATTTACCAATACGGGCAAAGTCTATCAGAGATTGGCAAGAAACAGGTTTTAACTTTTTACGTGTCAGAGAAAGTGTTGCATGAAAATGTCAGTTCCATACATAGATTACCATAAGAATCCTACTTTGGTCCCAAAATTCAACGTAAAATCTTTTTCTAACAAAGTATTTTTTTAATAAAGATCACCACGTAAAATCTGAAAACTATGCATAATTTGCAGGGTTGAGGTTTCACAAGTCTCACCTGATCATTATTCATCAGTTCATCCCACTTCTTAAGAGCCACCAATTTTCTAACCTCAGCATCTAACATACTGATACGATAATTCAAATCCCCGAACCAGAAAATCTGACTGTTATAGCATGAAACAGCATTCAATGAACACACAATCTTTAAGGAAAAAATTTACATAAAGTTGCAAAGGAAAACTTTCATCATCATATAACAAAAGCTTACTCGTGTGATGGGATATTTTGCGGTTGATCTTTATCAAAGACAGATGAGAAGCAAGTGCGTTTTAGAATTTCATGAACATCAGAGTTTCGCCTATGTTCAGCCCCATCCTTCTGACCAGAAGTTAGATGGGAACAAACAAAGCATAGACGTGACTGAAAGAGAGACATACTAACTGAAACTGAACCCTGCATCAGTGAGAATGTGTTATCACAACCATTCATGCCAAAATGAGCAAGTACTTAATGTTGTAATGTCAGTGATCATAAAATGCATAATAGATTTTGCTAATGCCTAATACATGTGTCACATACTATACTAGTACTTAATGCAGTAATGTTTATGAAGCCTAGTTAACACTTGACATGGAATTCATCATGGCTATAAATGCTTTGAAATATGTAAACCATAATGATGTCACATTCAGTGTGGAACATGTCCTACCTTGTTTCCCATGTAGCCCATAAGACCAACTCCAACAGGGGAAACTTTCAAATAATTAATGTGTCTTCTCATTCTCCTTTGCACCCAAACTGATACATATATCCCCACCATCTGCTTGCTGACAATCCGGACATACCTTGGACGTGATTTCATGTTAGTTACTGATTCATTGTCATCTTGGTTACAAGGTAAGTCAATAAAAGTATCATCATCCTCAGTTGTTAACACATCAGAGACATCAGCTAATGAATCAACTACTTCAGGTATCACTTGCTGTTCTTCCCATAACAAACCTAAATTTCCAGAACTGTGATGTGAACGTTTCAATCCACCGCCATATATCGAAGTATTCTCAGGCCAGTTAAAGCCAATCCTGGCTGAGCTGCTTAGTACTCTCCTTAACTTTGAATTGGAATCTATAATTTGAGGCACTACATCTAATGAACGTTCAGGCCAGTCAAGATCAATGCCATATATTCTCCTCAACTGTATGTTATTCTCAATATCAATTATGTTTTTCACTTCCTGCTGGTCCAGATCATTATTTTCAATTGTTCCTACATACTCTTCATTCATTATATCTATTGGATTTGCAACATCTATAGTGTCTGCTAGAACATCAGCAGCAGAAGAAGTTCTTAACACTGGGGAAGGAGGAGCACTGTAGCTTTTGTGTTTACTATCATCAGGCTCAGAAGATTTGTTTAGAGATCTTCTAATGATTGCCTCCCATTTTGCTATAGGTGTGTTATCCTCTGCTCCTAGTACATTTCCAGCATTCAGTGGAACTACCTCCTGGAAGCTGTGAAAGGCCATAAATATTTTAGTATCAAAAGACCATGCCAACGATGATATATAGAACAGCAGCAATTATAGCAACCACTGAAGGTACTACTAAAACATGGATAGCATATTTCATGCATGTACTAACATAATACAGCCACTAAAAAGGTATTCTGGAAAAAAAAAATGTAAAGCCTCAATAAGATGTTAATTAGTACATACAGCATAATTATAACTAACAAACTTGATTAAAATCATACTAATGAACAATTACATAAATAAGACTTTCCGTTGGACTTCAAAAATATGGATTGCACAACTGAAACTCATTCATAATGATTGTTATACTAATGGGTCTAAAAGCCTAGATCCAATCTCATGAACCACAGGAATATAATTTCAACGCTCCATCAGTAAAATTCCACTTATCCTCGTCGCTGATTCTTTTAGAGATTGACAGTTAACTGGTAGTTGCTCTTAAGAATGTGTGAGAATTCTTTTTATTCTTAAAACCGTCATTATTTGGAAAATAGTAGGCATTTTCACCGACAAAATATGAACTTTGATCATGCACAATTTCGGATCGTTAACCTAATTTTTTATAGCTGTAAGAAGGGCATTGTACGTCATACATAGAAATTGCATCAGTTAATCTCTCTCACAAACTAATGTAATTTTATAAAAATAGCAGACTGGAACTCTTAAGTAAAATAAAAAGAAAAAGGATAAATTCGAGAACAAAATCAACATAAACTAGAGTGAGCAAAAATGAAAATCCATAAAACTCACCACAAGCAAGATAAATACAAGAGTAAATTTGTGTAACTTGTTAGGCCACAATGAAATGTGGTTCAACTGAGTGATAAAATAATTTGTTATTATTTGTCAGAAGTAAACGTGGGACACACAAATGTCATCAAATTACAAAGAAGTGAAGGAACAAGATACAATTGAAAGTTTTTGACAGCAAAATTTGGTGAAAAAAACAGAAAGATTCAAATTCAATAGAAATAATAAACCATCGGCAGCTTCAGAAACTACTCACCCAAGAATGTAAATATCAGCTGGTTCTTCAGTACAAAGCCAGTCATCAATCTCAAGATCCTGATGTGGAAGTCTTCCAGCAACATTCCAAGTGCCAATTGTTACCCTGAACAATAACCAATTTTAAGATGCATTGCATTTCATTGATATCATTAAATTAACAACTCTAATGTCATGCTGCATAGCCAGGTTTACCCCCAGACCTCACTTCCTTCGTGTTTATGTACTGAGCACGCAGAGTTTCGGATTTTCCTCTTCTGTGTCTTATATTGGGGCCCTTATAAGATGCATCTGAATTACAAATATCAAATCACAGATGATGGCGATTTAACACTACTGAACTGATCAGGTGACAAAAAAATCATTTGAGTTCACAAAATTAACCACGATGGTTGACTTGAAAATTTGTTTGGGTTTATATTATTTTTTGTTAGCATAACTCATGGAACCTTTTCAGCTCATAGCTAGTTTGCGTCCAGAACATCAAAAAGTCACATGTAGCATGATTAAGTTTGACTCCAGTTAAAAGCTCAATTTTTCTACCGAATGGTGTGAACAAAGTTATGCAAGCCATGACAAGATGCTACTTTTAGATTCTTGATTTCTTAACAAGCTACTATAATAAATTTCTAACTAATAAAAAAGCCATAGCAGAAGGTCTATAAGAGCAAAGCAAAGGTGAAAAAACTTCTAAGAACCGCAATTAATTGAATTTTATTTTATTTCTTTTGCATTTGTCTACTAAAAAGAACTAGATTGCTGAAAAGGATTGAAGTGTTGCCTGATATCTGACTTGCGAAAATGGATTGAACCCCTTGTGTTCTAAGTGGATTATCTTCACGCACACGCATTCTTGAGCCTTTAAGAGAGCATGCTGGATGAAAATTGAAAGAACGAAAAAGGGAAATTTTGAAAAGAGAAAAAAACTATCAAGCTAAACAGGAGAAAGAATATGGTAAAACTCATACATACCATCATCTTCACTCTCAGTTTCGGTGTCCACTTCATCTTCACTAAAATCATTCACCATAGGCTTGATGTTTAGCCATTTTTTCATCACAATGGAAGGCCAGAATGCCTGCAATAAAATGAAATGAGGAAGTCTGAAAATACAAAGCACCATTCAGATCATGTAGTGTTGAAGTTAAACCTTACCTCAGAGCGTTTTCCTCTCCTTGCCTTCATTGTTTTGAGGTCAAAAGACCACAACAAAACCCGAAAAAACACTTGCGTATTTTGGTGGACTTTGGAAGCACAATTTCTTAAATATGGAATCGGTCACTGACATTTATTTGGCGCTATTTGGTAGTTAATACATAATACATAAATAAGAGACTGTTGTAACAATATAAAAATGGGATAAATTGAATGCAAAAGAGAAAGAGGATCCTTGTTAGAAGCAAGCAGAAAAGGACAGAAAATGTGTGAACATATTAGCAAGTAACACACATCCACAACCACAACTTGCAGAAGGAAAATTATATTGCTGGTCCTCACATCACGTCTCAATTTTCTGATAATAATAAAAAGCACCACACCCTTAGTTGAAATTTCGGGAGAAATCGAAAGACAAGTCCAATATAACCACATGTCATTTTCGGTATAACATTTGTGTAGCGGTCTCTTAAAATATAAATCATGAGAGAGAGACAATAATGTTACTTATTATCTAAACTAACAGAAAACTATCACATTTAATGAAACAACTAGCTAATAACAAATACTAACCCATATGGATTTCTTTTTCTTTTTAAATAAAATATGGAATAACAATAATGTAAAGAATATTATCTGCTAACTACAGATTTACCACTGTCCCAAATGCAGAAGCCAATACACATTAGCAGACACAAAGAGTGATGAAAGAAAGAGAATTAAAAAAGGAAGAGTAGATAAATATAAAGAGTAGAATCACAGGCAAGAAGTTGCAATGACCCCACAAAAGAGAAGGTGTCAGAAACAAGTAACAACCTTATCATTAAACTAAACAGAACTGTGACACTTACAATACAATAAATGGATGCTTAGCTCAAATGGACAACTAAAGTAAACTAAGATTTCATCATGTCAGGAACAGCTGTAGACCCATTGGTCTGGTTAGCCTCTCTCTCTCTTTCTCTCTCTCTCTGCAAATGCTGATTTAGAAACTGACAAGCCCTTTAATAATACAGAGAGAGAGAGAGAGAGAGAGAGAGAGGGTAGAGATGTAGGCCAAAGCAAAAGCACTATATGTGAAGATAAGAGTTCTGAGTTAAAAGCACAGAAATGAATAAGCAACGCGGTGGGGAATAATAGGCATCATACGAGGAAACAAAATATTCCTTTCCTTATTTTAAAATGTCCCTTAGTTTTGATACATATGTTTTATAAAAATTAATTTTATTAAAATATCTTTATTAAATATTTAAATTTAAAGTATTTTATTATTAAAATTACTCTTAAAGTAATATTAAAAATTATTACACAATTAACTATCGAATTTAGTACCACTAATTGAATTAAATATTTAAAGAAAAAAATTAATATCTATAATTTAAAAAAAGTTATTACATAGATGATTAACAAATATTATTCTTAACAAATAAAAATATTTAATATCTATAATTTTAATGGTATATAAAACTTTTTTCGGTAAGAATACTTCTCATGTTTGACTAAGATTAGCTTAATTAACAGAATAGATTAATTAAATAATTTGGCAACTGTGGAATTGAACCACAAAAAGTGGAAGCAACTTTCTTTTTGTTTTGTAGATCTTATTATGATGGCCATGCGGAAATGTGAACACAGAAATTAACCTTTGGAACTTGAAAGAGGGACGCCATCTGGGAACTCCACCCAAATGACAGGGCACCAATACATATATTAAATATATTTCTCATTTTTTTAACATCACAACTTACACTGAATATTTAAATATTATAATTTTCATTAAAAATGTTTATTATATAAAATAAATAAATATTTTTTGTAAGACTTTAGTAATTTTAACTATTTAAAATTACTAAAGCCAATTATTAATTCTTTTTATAAATTTTAAACATCATACCACATTTGTATGATATTGTGCATAAAATTATACTCTTATATCAAAAGAGGGATTACTATTTAAATATATATATATATATATATATATATATATGTATATATGATTTGTTATAAATATAATAAAACATTATAATTTACATAATCATTACCATATTTTTATATATTGACATTTAAAAAGTTTAAATAAAATCTAGTAATATTTACGGGGCTTTAAAATTAATGAAATATCAATTTGTAAAGATTATTCTAACTTAACTTATGCTCTCAAATTCAAGTTATACTAAATATTTAGAAGACAAGTTTTGTCATCCACAATAGTGCATAAACATGATTGTTGATAATTTTGATTTTTAAAAAAATCCATAAAATATGGCAATTCAGTAATTAATTCACGTACAATGATTTATGACATTTATTAACTTCAGTTTTAAAGCTAACAACAAATGACTAATAATAATAAAATTTTATAAAAAAAATTAAGTATTTATTATACTTTAATAATTTTAATATGTAATTTTTTATAAAGAAATATTCATTTACAGATTCTTAAACTCAGCTCTACAAGAACTGTGGCAATAAAAAGTCATAATCTATAACATTTAAAAAACATAAATTCATAATTTTTTTCCAATACTATTAATTATAATTTCTATATTATACTTAAGGTAACATAATTAATAATGATGTGACTTTATTGGAGTCATTGAATGGGAGAATGAAGTGGAAACAGCAAGTGGTATATCAGGATTGGATTAACCACCGTCAGCATTACTTTGGATGACAAATTGACAATTGTTTAAGTTATATAATACGTCCCTTAAAAAGGAATTGAACTTCATTCTCATCACCTATTTTCATATTTATATGTGCAAGACTCACGTTGAGATGCTAATTTTTTAAGAATTTAATTAAAATATATTCACAACTAAAGTGTTGCTTGATTATAAATTATTATATTAGCAAAAACTATTAATTTCTACATTGATTCATAATATTCGCATTAAAATTGAACTTTTATTTTAAACCCACAAATTTTGATGGTATTTTGGTTGGCTTATCCAGCTAAACTCATTTTATCACTTTTAATCTTTATGTTACAGTAAAATAGTAATACAGCAAATTGGACCCAAACGTTTTCTTTAAATGTAATTTAAAGTGTTAGAATTAAAATGAAATTTTATATGTAACGCTATATTTGTTTATCCGCTGAAATGAATTGATCATGCGAGCAGTGAAATAAAGTGGTATTGTTACATCGTACAGTTCATATATCCCAAGTTGTATCTTCAGAAAATTATACCTGTCTATGTCACTGGGCTTACAACTCACAACAGAGAATTTGACTATGAATTAAATTCAATAAAATCAAAGTATGTTAAGAATTGCATAAGGATTGAATAATAAAGATAGATAGCAGCACATGGATGCATGTTAAACATGACATGGCCACTGAATAAGGAGTTGTCACAGCATCTTCAGCTGCTAGCTAGGTTAAGACCTTGACAACCCTAATTGTTCTTCCTGTCTATATTCTTCATGAAAAAATTGTCATCTCAGATTACTATCCGTCCAAAGAACGAATAAAGAAAGTGAAAATTGCAATGGCTGGAAAAATCCAAAGTTTACGGAGATTTTGACTTATATAAAGAATAAAATCGGGATTTGCAACATCTTTTTCCTCTTTTATTCGAATAAAAAGGTGTTATTATTTTTTTTTATGAAAAAAGGTGTTATTTATGTGTAAAAGAATGTCTTATTTCCTTTGTAAAAAGAATCAATAAGTTGAAATATTTACAAATGTGTGTCAAAGTCAATGATCTGATTGGATTTTAACCCCACAATGAAATTACATACATCGAAGAGGAAAAGAGAAAGTCAGAGGAAATAATAATGAAACAGTATAAGAGTTAGAGCCATCGTCAAGGATGTGCTTCTTAACTTTATGAGCATGGGACCTACGAACGACGTTAAGGGCATGCGCATAATTAAATTGATTAGGTTTCATTATTTCAATATCAATTTTAAAAAGTATATATATATACTAGGAAAGATATTCTTATATCGGTTAAGTTTAAAAATTCTTATACTCAATTTAAATCTTTTATTTAATTTAAATTTAATAAATTATAATTTATTACTTCATTAGCTATTAAATTTAAGTTAAATAAAAAAGTTAAATTAAGTGTAAGTTTTTTAATTTACACTAATGTAAAAAAATTCTGTTTTTATATATATATAATTCATATTAACACTAAATATAAATTTAAAAAAAAAATTAACTTTACAAATCAAATAATCTAACAATTGAAAAGTTATATCATTTTATTATTTTTATATATATACTTTTTAATTGTTAGATTACTTAATTTTACGATTAGAATTTGATATAAGTCAAAAAGATATCCTATATATATATAACGTTTTAATTTATTTTAATTTGACACTTTCAACTCAATTCTTATATACTCTTATTCTTTTAATTCTGATTAGTGTTAGATATATAATCTTATGTTAATGAATTAACGCTTAATTAAAAGATATAAATAAAAAATTATAAATTTAAACTCTTAAAATATTTAAAAAAAATAAATGACTGAAATTTAAATTCATTGACCTCGCGTTTTCTTCAAACTTGAATTGAGTGTGCATTCAAGTTTTAATAATTAGTGCTACTCCTTTTAAATTAATGCTAGAATTTGAACACAACCAGTTAAGTATTCCTTTCATCTTAAAACGACACACTAAAATAAAGAAAATTAATTCAAACTTGTGATATGTGATGTTATTGAGCAATGGCATTCATTAAGCAGCGTTGTTGTCAAGTATGCAACTTTTTTTTACGTTCTAATTTTAATTAATCAATTTTAAATTTAGTATTGTAATTTGCAAAAAGCAGTTCATATACTGCTCGAAAACTAAATTCAACTATAAATACGTATATAAATTGATAACCGACCAAGGCAATAAATAACCTATAAAATACTATTTTTTACTCTGGTATTTTTTATAAGAAATAAAATACTAAAATATTAAGATAAAAAAAGTAATTAAATTAATTATATTTTTCATGAATATAAATTTTATTTCAAAAACATCTATAACATTAAATGGTATAATTAGTAATTTGTATATTTAATGATATTAAAATATATATAAAAAAATTAAATAATTAATATACTTTGAATCTATCATTTATTTTTTATAATAAAAACTAAAAAAAATACTGTATTTTATTTCTTATAAAAATACCATAAGGAGTATATTGATAGTGGAAACTGCTGCCATGGCTTGAATATATGTCCAATTAAAAATTTCTGCATGCAAGTTAAATACTTCAGGGATCGAGTTTATCAGAAAATATGCATATGTTAAATATTTAGAAGAACTTTATCATCTATAATTATCTTTTATTAGGAATATTTCCCTCTATGAGACTCACATATTTTAGGCACATTGTCTTCCAAATTTTCATACAACTTACCAAAGTAATATCAGTAGCTACACTCAAACACAAACCCAACATACTGAATAAACCAACTTTAGTCAATAGACATCATTTGACTACTGTGGGATTTTGAATAGTGACACGTAATATTTGTTTAAAAAAAATATGAAGTTTTAATACAACTTTAATTTCTCTCCAAAGTTAATATTCTTTAAACATAACAAGTAAGTATAAAATTTTTACAATTCTTGAATAAATACAATTTCAAGGATTTTATATGAAAGACAAATGTTACATAAATCCACTAAGGGATTTAAACCTTTTATTTAAACAAACATTTACAACTTATTTGATGAATCAGTAAACACAAAATTGGTGTAGTAATCAATTTATCATTGTTTTGGAAAGTAGACTGGCCGGCTCCACTAAAAATATTGGCGAACTCATGAGTTGTTCAAATCATTTAACTCAAAAATTTAGTTAATTTCAAAATTAATGAAAACCTGCCCAAAATTAAAAATAGATAAAATTATATAACCGTTGATAAAAAGCTTGTTTCAGCTTATAATTATAATTTTTATTTTTAAAATTTTATTTTACATGATAAAAATTTGATTAAAGCACTTTGGATATGTAAAAAGAAGTCATGTCGGTTAAAGAAAGTTGATTATATATCTTTTAACCCTTAAAAAAAAGTAGAAATATACTTAAAAAAGGGTTATAGATGAAATCATTAAATAAGGGTATGTTAATGTTTTTGGTAAAAAAAACTTATTCGGCTATTTTTTTGTCAAATAAAAACTCAATATGAAGTTATAGAAATTGGTGTATAAGATTCACTTCTATAATTGTTATTGTTTAATATACAGTGAGAAAATATAATTTATTTCAAAATAATAATTTAGATATTGAGTAAAATTTTTTTATAAATTTCTTAAAACATTAGCAATCTATGTTACTTAAAACTAACTGCTATTTAGTGCAAAAATATAGCATATGAATTATACACAAATATATTTATATCATGATAATTTTATTTTTATTTTTTTTGCTTTAACAAATAATTTCCTACTTAAAAATATATATCTTCCTCCAATATATAAATATCAACTTTACAATATTATAGATAAATGAGTTAAAGTTGATGGATACGTGTGGACTTCTCATTCATTTGTCAATAAAGAACGAAGGGCAATCACAGTTGGTCATGTGGACTGTAGTTGGCACTTTGCATCGGCAATTGAAAATGTCAACTCCTTTTTAAATACTAACAGATCTTACTACCAACCATGCAAAAGAAAAAGTTTCAATACCAACAAAGCTTAGATAAACATCGTACCTTTTATTCTGCTCAAAATCAATTAATTAATTCAGACGAATCAAAAGCTTCCACTTGCAAACGGGTAAGTTTTATTTCTTTTTCTGTACAACTTAATTTATATATAAGGACCAAGTTTTTTAGTTTTTAAAAATTATGTTTTGTGAAAAAAATTTAAATATTAAAAATCAGTTTGGTTTATTTTAAATATTTTTAAAAATATTTAATACTGAACACAAAAAATTAACATTTTCACTTTAATACTTTTGAAAAAATTTTAAAAATTCTCTTGCCAACGTACTTTTCATATTTTTTTTATTATAATTTTTAAAATATTTAATTGTGTATTTAATGTTTTTTAAACTTGTATCTTTAAACACATATTAATAAAATTAATCATTTAATAATTTTAATAATTTGTCATGTAATAAGTTGTGCTAATCGAGGAATCTGATTCGCGCATATATAGTAATTTCCATGGAGGTTTGCAAATGAAAGTCATAATAATTCATGAACAACTCTTAGGTCGGCTTCTTCAACAGATGTGATTATATCCAACCGACAGAGAGAAGTTCCTTCCCTTATAATCTATACAAACGCAAAATTGTAGACTCAATGAATGGTCATTCTCCAACTAAAAAGAGAGAGCACATAGTTTTCAATTCTTTGTTTTAAACTTCTTGGACCACTATAGGCTTATTTCTCAAGGTAAATCCAGAAGCAACTCACAAGTAGCATAGGAAAGCACCTGCTTATGAAAAGAAAATGGGGTACAATTTGAGCCACACCTTTGATGAATTTCACATAAACATAGTTTGTTTTTTTTTAAAGGAAATGTATAGGTTATTCAACAATTAAGTAAAGCAGGCATCGCCACAATTAGTAAACGATTCACTATATAAAGGATCAATGCTCAGGAATCAATTCTAAATCTTTTCATAAACACAACTCAATCTTAAAAATATAACCAACCATTATTAACACTATTAAACTTGATTCATTTATGTTCTTTTCTTTGTTTTTCTGTAATTTTTAAGAAAAAATTGCCTTCCACTTGGTTATGCTATTGTATAAAGTTTTGTTATTTGACCCATTAGAAATTGACACTATATAATACACTGTATATAATTTTTTTTTACTTTTTTTCAATCTTTTTTTGTATTTACACTTATTTTAGAATTATAATTAAAATATAAAAAATTCAAAAGTATTCCATTTTAGTGGCACAAATCAGTTTATTTTGGATGCCAGCTAGCAACCTACATATAAAGAATATTGGGATAGGTTTCAAAGGATAAAAAAACTCCTCTAAAATAAACTGTAAATGATGCCAAAATACAACAAAAGTTATAAAGACTAAAAAAACGGAAGTTTTATTCAGCCAAATCGACCCTACTCATCAAAACCAAATTAAAAAAAAAGGGAAAGTCTATCTTCTCCGTTACACCAATAAAAACTGTGATCATCTGTCCTTACAAGGAAGAATCCATTAACATGATTAAAGAAGCCTGGGAGAAAATTAGTAGACTAACACTAGAAAAATATATATTATTGCTACCACGTGATTCGTAACTCGAGTTACGTAAGTGAGTCTATTAGTTGCAGAATAAATATTATATTATGCATGTCATACAGATATGGCGTATGTTTCATGCAAGAAATAATTAAAAAAGTGTCAACGAACCGCGTTCACATTGTAGATAATATTTATATAAATACGAAAGAGAGCAACAAATAGTTCAGTGCATAAGATTTCTTCTAAACGTACGCGGAAAGAGAAAAAAAAATGTTTAGAATAATAAGAAAATAACGTTCCAGAGCCTTCCCAAACATATTAAATTAATTCATAATATTGAAAAGACTTAGTTGACGGCAGAACCTCTAATACGAATTTGCTTGTCTTGCTGGACCGTCATTTCCGACCTTACATTATTATCACTATAACGAAAGAGACTTATAGTTATTTTTTGTTACCCTCACAAATCACAAGTTGCACCCTAAAGAAAGAAGTGGGAAACATTTTTCGTGAGATAAGGCCTAAGTCTTTCCCATTCTGGGGAGAATCAATGTGCCTTGGAAAATAATTGTTACTGAGAAATAGAGAGAAAGGAGAGAAAAAGTAAAATATGTAATAATAATGTGATAGAAAAAAAAAAGTATTATATAAATATATGGATATCATTATTATTCTTTTTACAAGTTCATTCGATTTGGACTAGATAAATTAAAAGTGCTTGTTGTTGATGTGGAACTTATAAAGAAGATATTTTATATTTTTTTTAAATTAACAGTTATAATTTTTTTAATATCTTAAGAATAAGAAGATATTAAAAGTTGTAATTTATTTAATATCTTAAAAATAAAAGAGTATTAACGTCTTTTTTTAACTAAATCACTAACTTTATTATCTATCTATATAAAATTAACGATAAAATTATATTACATATAAGAGAGGGTATCACTCACTTACCCAAGATGCCGTAAACTTTACCTAAATTAAATTTCGTAATTCAATTTATGGACGGTGGAAAACTGTGGCTTTGTTTACCCCAAATTGAGATGTTGCAAAGCAGAAGATCCACGGTAACCATTTACAGTTAATCAATATTGTCTAGTAAGACGAAATGTAAATTTGAGATAAAATTAATTTTGATGTCATATCAGAAAACCTAAACATGCGGAGTTTGATTTATCCTTCTTGAAAACCAATCATTATAGCAAAATATTGAAAGTCAGTTTCATCAACAATTTAGTGTTATTGTTAATAATAATAACCTAACGTGTGGCGTTTTTTTTAACATCGTCCTAGACAACTTGTTTTTTGTCACAATATGCAAACATAAACAACTATCCATTTACTGATCCTAAAACAAAACACCTACACAGGTGGCATATTTGCAAATAGGCCCAAAATAAAAATGAGAAATTGATATTCATTCTACTACTGAAAAATTGGACTCACATTATTCAACTCACATCAATTTCACCATCCAAAAATAATAAAAATGCCATCATAATCATCTAGAGTACAAATTGTCAAATAAAAAACCTAAATAAATTTCAATTTTTTATAGTTAAAGGACTAGACTGATGTCGATTGATCATTAAAAGACTAAATTAAGCTCAAGTTCTTTAGAAAACTAAATGGATATTAGCAACATTTTAGATATCAAATTAATGTCCACCAAATTTTTTAAGGACCAAATTACAGTATTCCCAACTAGCTAGTGCTGGCCACGGGCCAATTCAAAACAAGGGAGAAAGAAGAAACGGACTTCGAAGCAAGTAGGCAATATGGACATCTAACGACTTCACTACTCCCCCCACATAAGCAAGGCACAGTAAGTTCTGATGTCTCAGCATAACATTACAGACTAAAATGAAGTTGTTGCCATGTCATGGAGTGATCCAGTACAGCGCGAGTTATACACATTCAGCAAAAAGATATCACATTATGGTGCAGCAGCTCTTTTCTTCATTTGTTTGTGAGTTTACTTGCTGGAACCTGTGCGACTCAGATGGGTTGTACGTAAATTCTGAGGTATCAAGCCCATACTGAATAAGAGCAGTGTTAGTGTCAAGAGAGTAAAAACCACATACAACACAATAATAATCCAACAGAACAATAAAAATAATAAAGTGTGTGTTCAAAATGATTCCTACTACAATGATAAGAGATGGTAAAAAGCAGATTAATTGAATAATAAATCTCCACAATAGATTGCTAACTGACAGAGTTGAATTAAACATGTCTTAAGTAAAAATAATGTCCTGCTTTGTGCTTTGTGACATCAGAAAAACATTCGATAAAATTCAGCTTTAGCCATTCCTTTAAGACATGAATTCTACAAAGTGATCTACACTGAAAATTTCATAAACTTTCACATGAAATTCTATAACCATGCTATTTCAATGCTTCAATATTCTTCCCAAATGAAATAATATTGTAATCAGGAAACTCGTCAAAATTAAAATGCTCAACAAATTCACAGACTACACAACTATATATATATATATATATATATATATAGAGAGAGAGAGAGAGAGAGAGAAAGCATCAGATGAGAGATGAGAGCATGAGAGGAGGGGATCTTAATTAAAATGGATGGTGAAGATTAACTCTTCAACTTTCACTAGATATGTTTCCTCATATAAGGTTGGAACAGTAGTAAAAATCTAAACATCCAGTGTAAAGATATGATTGGTTCTCAAAACCCCCCAGGAAGCCAAAAGTCAAAGCCATATATACATGTATGTGTTCATGTACGAAAATGTTTGGCAACCACAAGGCTACAAGGCCTGGATTGCACTAGACACACACAAATACAGAACTATCCAGTGCAATCCAGCACTCTAGTGTGTACAAACACCAGTTAAGACAAAATGACATGAAAAATCCACATAACAACATTAGATAAAGTCAATTGAAGAGACAAGAATTGCACCTTCTCCCTCATCCGTGTGCTCCAAGCATCGTTTCTGCTTGGACGCTGGTCAATTGTCCCAGCAACTGGTAACCCTGTTGCAGGGCCTGCTGGTCTGTTGAGCAATGGCTGCCGGACTTGCTGCCTTGGATTAATGAACTCATCATCACTATCATAATCTGCTGGCTTATTTGAAGCCCTAACAATAAGGGCTAACAGGAAAAGAAGGGCCTGCAATTTCATAGTACACATTCTTTAGACAATATATGATAAGAATTTTACCAAATTTTGTGTTCTACGAACATAATGATAATCACATTACATTGCACATGTATAAAGTTTTCTTTACTATACTTCCCCTCTCTTTCTCATTGTAGCATAAGGTATTTTCAATAAAGTAATGAAGTACATGTCAGAGCTAGAAGTAATATTGTATAATTTGTATTACATCTCAAAAGATAAGGTGAGGCTTCTCACAGGCACATTTTTTGCAAAATTCCTGAATTTCACAATAGATTTTTACTTAATTAGCATATTTTAACTTTCTCTTTTCTTGATATTTTTTCTTTTTTCTCTTTCAGCTTTCTCTTTGTCTCCTAATATCAATTGGTATTAAAACTACATTTTTTGGGGATTAAAGAAACTTAGTCCCCAAGTATATCCCTAACTCCATTTCTCATCAATAAAGAAACATTATAAAAAGGTTGGCCAATGACTACTGGCCCTGATCTTAAAATCCAACTATTCAAGGGAGGAATGGAGCCAGGGAGAGGGGAAATTCTATTGTTGTTGATGATTGATGAATGACTCCAATGAAATTATTAGCAACATGGTGGTAAGAAACTAAGAATCAATTCATTTTCCTTGTCTTTCTGGACTGTAGATGTTTCAATCAATAAAACACCAGTGTATTCTACTCATCAAGAATTCAAGCATAAGCAATCTGCAATTGGACCAACTAAATTGATACTTGACTTAGTTGATTATAGTCCCACCACCTATTTTTTTGAGGTACATGCACATAGAGACACACATATGCAAAACAACACGGCTTTCTTTCAAATGCCAATCATACAACTTCGTGCTTACCTCAAAGATAACAGTTCCAAGGGCAACCCATTTCACAATATTCCAATTCTCTCTCAGGAATCCATATATCATATCAAAATCTCCAGTTTTGTCTGTTGGAATTTCCTGAATGAAATATAATTATAAGATGACAAATACATCTTTAATTTCAGATCACAAAATATCAAAGAAAATTTCACTTACATCTGTCCAGTTTTTGTCAAAGAACATAAAAGCTGCACATCCCAGCTCTACCAAGATCAGTAATACTACCAAAATTGAATACTTTGTTGACTTAAGGAAAGTAATAACAATCCCTTTGATTAGTGCAGACTATTGCTTGTATATATGCACACACAGCTGCACATATACAGAGCGAAATGGAAGAGAAACTTCAACAAATGCTTTCCCTGTACATTAGTGAAAATTTATAAGCCATGAAATATTTTTTACTGTAGCATAAGACATTCTAATAGGATACACAGCTCAAGCAGCATCCATTCCGTGTTGTAGCTCCAATACAACCAAAACAAGAAATAACAAAGAGAACTGCTCCAACACCAATAAATAAGTAAATAAACCTGCCAAACAAGAAATACAGAAAGAGTCAGACAGAACTAAGACAATATAGGTGGGTTTTTGTTTGACTTCATCCAAAAGTAACAGTAAGTGTTGTATACTATGAGTGAAAACTGTGCCATTTTATTATATAAATGTAAAATATCAGTTGTGCATGAACAAAAATTAAAGCATTGGGATCACAAAGCTCCCTCAATATACAATAATAAAAAAAGGACAAAATACTACATGTGGTATTTTATCGGTGATTCTCTTTTTCTCGCACAAATACATAGTCATATGTAAAAAAAACACTACATCCAGAAGAAATATAATTTAATTAAAATTCACATTTGTGTACCATTCTAGAAATTGCACAAAGCAAATTTGTTTTAAGTTTCTGTCCTTAATCAATGGCAAGAACAATGAATGATGCACCAATTACACCAACAAATGAAGCATGCTTAGCCTTCAATTTTACCTTCTGAAGCTCCAATTACTACATAACCACAAGTCTACAATCTATTGACAACTAAGAGCCATTCCAAAAGTTCATCCTGGTGGACTTCACTAAACGTGTTCAAAACTGAACATATGATATGGCAGTCCAACCTTAATGTAGAGGCTGTGCCCCAGAAGTTGATTCCAATTTCAAACCCCTAGTATCTCGGGAATGCAATTTACTCATAAATTTTCTAAATCAAATTATAATAGTTTTTTTAACATAATTATGCATTTCATCCAATACAACACTGATTATTGGTTACAAGTCATTAAAAAAAAGTTACCCCGACCCCCTGAAGAATAAAAGCTTTGTCAGCATGAATATAACCTACAACCAAACTATATAACTGATGGTAAACCAATGCAGTTAAACATAACCATAAACAAAACATTTTGCAAGTCAACAATACACATAAATCAATGGATATCCCCCCAAAAAATGGCAAGAAAAGAGCAGAATGCATACCAAGCATTGGGCAACTTATCAAAAAAGCTGTTGGATAGCGACACAGCCAAAATCATTGGTCGGCCTAGTTGAATCAGAGCATAATCATCACTGACAGGAGAATTTGCTGGAGCGTCATCATCCGAAGCTTGAGTGACTTCAACCAACAGATAGATCCCATAGCCCACGATGGCCAGACCAAACAGAGCCAGTATGAAATTCAAAAGCTTCAAAAGGCACTCCCAACATCCCCTACATGCCATCCCCTACCTATAATGATAGTCTAATCCCTCAACAACAATTCAAAAAGGAGGCCAATACTTTTCTGCAGAAACAAGCATTTCACTAACATTATCAGATCAGTAATAAATAAAACTACCAGAGCAATGATAACACCTGCAGTTCAATTAGAATTTAATTAATATACTAACTTAAACTTGTCCTTCTTTTAGTTTACATTTCCTGCCTCAAAAACACAGAAATTAATAACGACAATAATTTAATGGTTTGATTTAGAGAAGAAAAGCATTTCCAAATCGAAGTAAGGGAAACATTCTCTCATATCGAAGGTTCGTATCTTCAAAACAACAATTCTCGAATAATAAATGCAAATTTATATCCCCAATTATTATTATTTTTTTAAATTAACATTTCGCTTGGAATGCAATTGTTGTAGCTCAGAAAATCGTTATGGAAGCTTCGGCGATTCGCCAAACAAAAAGAAATTAAAAAAAAAAAAAGCTACGAGAACTTACAGAAGGGACCAACGATTTCGACCTGCGATTTGCGAAGGTTCGCTTCCCAAAATTGAAATTGAAACCACTCACAGAGAACAGAAGACACAGAAAAAAGTGCCACTCTGGCATTCCTCTACACTTTCCATAAAATTTTACAGAAGATCCTCACCTTTCAAATTTATTTATTTTAAGGCAAAAATAATTAATAAATACCGTTTAAAAATTATGAACCGTGCGATCTCTTTCAATTGTACAATTGGCCGTTGCATTTACATCTGTGTCCTCTTAGTGCTGTACACTCTGGCACGCTCATTTTTAATCAAAAGATAAAATAATTAAAATCGAACATTTCGTTAAATTAATTAAATCCAAGATAAAATCCCAAGTCCAACCCTCGCATAAATTGTTTTTCTATAAACGCAACATTTTATAGTATCATCTCTTTAATCTTTAATTTTATATGGATTTTGAATTAGCATCTTATTTTTATTTTTAATTTCTAATGATAATTTTTTAATAATCATTATAATATTTATAGTTTTCCACATGGTCAGCCACAAATACAACAATGATTCAATTCATTTGTTAGAGTCAGCGTAATCTTAGTTTTTGAATTCTATTAGCATTGAATGCATGTTTAAAAACTTAATAATATTGTGTTAAATTATGTTTCAACATAAAAGTTATAATTTATAGGGTTAAAATGGATTCGTATTTAGGTGAATTTGATACTGTGTGAATTTGCTACAAATTTAAAAAAGAAAAAGAAAAAGAACTAATCCAAGAATAAAGTACATGCATAATGCATGATGAGATAACGATAGTGCGGCCCAAGCCCAATGGTACCAACCCACAAACAAAACACAGTTATTGACCAAAAACAAAATTGCAAAACCCAATTAAAACAGAACAGTGATACAAACGTAGACACAGTTGACTCTGCTCTCTTCAAACCTTTTTAGAAGTACTAAGCTCTGCTTCTTTCCCTTATTCAAATATGGACTCGGTCTGTCATAAGCAATATGGTTGGGTTTTTGTGTACAATTCAAATTTGAAGCATGGGCTGTTATTGGCCCACATAATAATTTGTTAGTAATAAGTATTTATTGTATGAAAAAAAATATTAGCAACACACTACACCCTCTCTAGCACCGTTTTTATTATTAATAAATTTATTAAAACTAAAAAAGTACTAAATAAAAATATTAATTTAGTAATAAAAAGGAGTGAGTCTCATATAGTTTTTGTAAGTTTCAATAAGTTTTAGCTAACAATAAAAAATGTGTTATAAAGATTGTGTTAGATAATGTCATTACTCTTCATTTTATTTGTCTATCATTGTGGCAAAAATATTCTGTTTATTTGTTCGCAGACAAACAAAAATATGTTGTCCAAATTATTTTCTTTTTTAATAATCAAAATAAAAAGCTCCTTCTTTAGAACAAAACAAAACTCCACCCCAAGTCTAAATTATGCATATATATTCTTACTAGACTCAAAATCGACCTTCTTAAAAGTTTAAGAATTATCGTTGAAACAATAAATTTTGGTTGTCTTTCATATCCATTTATCGAGAAATTAGATGTTTAATACTTTAATTTGAAATTACTAATTCATTAATTTTTGTTTTTTCAAAAAAAAAAAACTGTATTCAATTGTTGTTTGTGTCAAGAATGTTTCTCTTTTTTTAAAAAATCGGAAATTTCAGTAATGAAAAATAGATGGTTATTATTAAAAATGACATTAAAAATAGATCAAAGCTTTAAACAAAATAACATTTTACCCAAAGCGCAATATTTTGCAACAACTTTACGCCTTTCGGCATTGTGTTTCGTTCACATATTCTGTTCAATGCGCGCTTAGTTAGAGTAATTTTACATCAAGCATATTAAAAAATTTATGTCTGGTTTCCAGATTTAATAAAACCAACATGTGTAACATAAACTCAACCAAAAAAATTCCAAGAATGGAGCACCTAACTAGAAATGTTTTTAAGTCCCTTTAAAAATGATTACTTTTAAAGCAAATTAAAGTTAAAAAAGATAAATTGAGGAAGACAGAAGGATGGACCCAAAGTGTTGTATGAACACCTGGCCTGCACAGACTGGGTATTGTTCTAAATTCTGAACAAATTGAATTGGTAAAGAACAAGTTAGCATCCACCAAAGCCTGGACTCATCTTTATTCACAACATTATCCTATCTACCCTTTCCATTATTAGACTATGCCCCACCCCAACACCACCAATAGAACCAAGACACCCCCAATCCTTGTCATATAATATATGGACCCCAAAACTGGTCACTCAAAACCCCCACCACATGCATCAAAACTTTGCATAAGGATTTATTTTCAGCCACAACATTTTTGTATAAAGCTTCAACAAATGCGTGGCCAGTCCTCAGCTTCATTCACCAAATGGCGCCATGCACTGCATTGAAACTGCTGAATGGCTTAACCCCTTTTTTTTAATGTTATTTTTAGCATTTTCTTTTGGCAACTGGCGATGGATAGGAATAGGATCAATGTATTGTCCATTGTATCATCATGGTGTTGTATGACTGACATCATGTCAACCGTCAACGCTTAGCATCATAAGGAGGGACATCATCATGAGTGGTCGGTGTTGAGGTGGGGACCACAAGGCAAGTAAATGATTCCAATGGAGCCTAATCTAGCACTGTAGTTGGAACCTGAGAGAGAAATTTGAGAAACAAAGTAATTACAAGAGTCAACAGGGCGTTGATGTATGATTGGCCCATGCCAGCATGCCATGTTGCCCATCACCATCAGAACCACTATGCTGTGGGAACCACTGGGGTCAGTCATACACGTCAGCGTGGTCTAGAAGTAGAAGAACCCTTGTTGCCAAAAGGGATGTTGGATATGCCTTGTTTGGATAGCTCAGCCAAAACACTGTCCATAGAAGGAGGTTTGAGACCTAAGGGCAAGGGTAGCCATGGTTTGCTTATTGCTTCCTTCACAACCTTGTCTACCACATCCTCTGCCTGCATGCATGGAACACAACCATTTTATATGTGCACAACTCAAACACTAGTTATGTCAATTAAGTGCATGTGTGAATTCACGTTTGAATAACCATGGGTCCACGTCTACTGCAATGCTATTAGTTGTAGTTTCTAATTCAGATTCACAATTACATAGTTTTCAATGTGTTTCCAAACATGCACTAGGATATGACCCCGTTCCCATGTAAAATCACTAGAATAATCATGCGACGCTAAAATATTGATCTAAATATAATTTATGTGCCTAATTAGACACAGTTGATCAAGTAGAAGGAAATTTAAAGGAATGTACTGCATTACCGGATAATGCTCGAAGGAACTTCGTGGCATCCCAAATCTATAATTCACTGCTTTAACATTGTGCAAACCAGTTATAGACTGTAATTTGATGAAAACATATAATTAGCATAACTCAATAAATAATTTATATACACATGATTATATAACAAGTAAAAACGGCATTGAAACGGAAGTTAAGATATTCAATTCATTGATACTTACTTGAGTGTAGGAAAAAGAAGGCGATTGTTCAGGTGGCAACAATGGACAACCCCATGCATCCACATGCACCTGAAACATCAAGTTACCAAATGTCAAACTTCATCCACAATATCTACATTACATGCCACAAAGCAAATTTGCCAATATACAAGAGAAAACTTATAAAAAGATTACCCCAGGATAAGGATTCCAATGCCAACTTTCTGTAGGATGCCACAAGGGATAACCAGGAGGGCCCCAAATCTGTACACCAGCGGTTTGACTGCCAGGTTGTCCCCACCTAGGATATACAGGAGCTGGAGGAAGGGTGTGATTAGAATGATATGGAGGGTAGGCCATAATTGGTCTTTGCAGATAATAGTTTCTTTGCATTGTATCTCTTTGATTATGCCATTTTGGATCTTCTTCCACTGGTGCACTTTGTCTCTTGTGTATTCTATATTTCTGTTCAACATAAAGATGTTACTAAGTCTTACCTATGAGGAGAAATGGATATTATTTTTCTTTACCATCAGAAAGGTATTGAAAAAAGTCATTTTACTTGCAGCTTTGGAATAGAACTGATATCTATAACAAGCAAGCAAAATAAGGACCTGAAGATGGCTTGCCACATTGTGCCTTGTCAAACCGTCCACTTTCATTAGCTCCAATATTCGAGAAGGAATAGCTTGATCAATACCTAGTTGTTCAACTGCCTTTACAAATTTTTTATGCAGCTCAGGCGTCCAGTCTACCTGAAACCAAAACCAAGTACCATGTATGTATTGAGGTCATACATGCAGATCATTTGTACAACCTTAAAAAAAGTTATTATGGAGAAAGAAGGATAAGCAACAAACAAAACAAAATTATGTGATTAACAGAAATATTCACTTAAACTCTCAGACCAGATCGAAATCTTTCAGGTGAAGTAACAGTTCAAGGACAAGATGCAGTTTAAATATTTAAAGAGCCTGATAGCTGTGCCATTTTTCAAGTTTAATAATTATTGTGAATATGTGAGTTATAAGCCACAGATTCAAGCTCCAGAATTTTGCCCTAAACTGAATACAAGGAAAAAAGGTGAATCAGGTGATGATTAGAGCCATGGTGTTTTACCTAGCTACCTCCATTGGAAGTGTTCTTCTAAAATTGACAACCATAGTGCAGTTAATATTTGACAATTTCATTATGAAATTTCCTTTGCTCACATCCTGATAATGGAGTGATATATATTCTTTAACAATTCAAAGCATGCGGATACAACATGTTGGGAACATTGGCAGGATAAAAAAATTTTAGAAATAATTTGTAGTTGTGTGTCAAACTAGTGCCAATGATATCAATTTGATGAACAAGTGTAGGAAAATAGTGCAAGGCAAAAAGCAAGGGAACTATTGTGTAGGTGTTTTGCAACTAGGGGGGAGAGGTTTGAATCATATAGTCACATATATGATAAGAAGAACTAATGGTCATAAAGCAGCTTACTTTCATCTTCTTCCGATTAGCTTTAATCTCACATGAATCATTAAGTACACCCGTTTTATTTGGAGATCTATTACCATCGCTGTTGCTGAGAAACTTTCTATTATGTGGATTCAGTGAAACAGCACTCTTAACCTTGGAACCATTAGCAAAATCCTCTTCCTCCTTAATCAGAGTCTTCTCAGGTTCTCTTGCTTGAGAACTTTCAGAATTCAAATTCTCACATGAAGTTTCGACAGATTTGCATTCCCCATCATGTTCCCCACTTTCTTTCTCTGTTGAGCAATTAGTCTGCTCATGGCAATCTCCATCATCCAGTAACCTTGTCCCCTGTTCTAATTGTGGGGTTGAAGGAGCTGGATATTTATCACTTCCAGCAGAATGCTCTTGGTCATTGTCACTACACCTGGAAACATTCTCTAAATCTATTGAATTCGTACTTTCATTTTGTCCATTGTCTGTTTGGAGCTGCAGCATGGATTCTACTGATTCTTTGACAGGTTTTAGTGATTCAGACTGGAAACTTGCCCCAGTATTAAATGCCTGCTTCAATTCAACAACATTAGAAACTATTTTGTTCATATTTTTAATAATAAATCCCATCATAATGTTGCTATTATTAACAGACCTTGTGAACCACATGCTGCCAAATATTTTTGAGCTTGTCCTCAGAGAGTGGTTTACTAAGGAACTCGACTGCACCAAGCTTAAAAGTGAAAATGGATCAAAGAGTTTAGAGGTATGCATCAACAATCAGTATAGTTCTATGAAAGTAATCTATGTCTAACTTAAATGGGCGAAAGATCACATTCCCAGTAAATATTGAACTAAAAAACAATACGAAAAGTAGTTTCATTAGTGTACTAATTTTAAGGAGAAACTCAAATTTTGGTTTGAAAAATCCAAAAGCATCACAAGTTAACAGAAGATAATACCAAAAAGAGGATGGTAAAATAGAAAATTGGAGTTAGCTCAAGGAATATTATAAATAGCTCAAGGAATATAATTGGCATGAATAAACCAAAATCTTACTGCAATGCACTTCATCATGGTGTTCAGGCACTGGTTGTTCGAAGTCACTACATGAAAAATTTGAAGTATCACTGGTTAGTTCAAATTGAATTTGAAAGAAACAATGATTTCCCTTCTTCTTTTAAGATGAAAATTTGGTTTAACATGTAGACTAGATAACTGACTTGTAAATGCCATTAAAATAGAATCGATCCTCTTTTATCAGAGAGAGGGAGGGGCTTCATAAAAAATACAAGTTAAACAAACAATTAGGATTTGTTCTGTGCTTACTAATGGTAGGCAAGTTCTTCACATTTTCAAGAAATTTGAAACCTCCATGGCTACTGCTTGTACTCACCTACAAAGATGGGAGCATGTGATTACAAATCACATCATCAAGGCTGAATTATTTTAACAAGAGAGATCAATTACAATTTTAAGATATAGAAATTGACAAAGTGAGTCAATAAGTGCGAAGATATAAATTATTAGAGCAAAATGCATGAGGTGATAAAAGTCTCCACTTATTATTAGCATTTCACAAATTGTGAGATTAATGACAACTCTAATGAAAGTATGTTTTTCATCCTAAAGTTTGGAAGCAGCTAACTATAATCAAGAAAACCATCAACTTCTCCATATTCACACCATTTTAAACTAGCATAGTAGACAGCATCTTTTTCGTTTATTTTCTGTTCAAATTTTACAGCTATAAAATAATGATTTATCATATCCTGAAAATTTAAGTTCATTACCTCCACTATGGCAACATGGAAACCTTCAGGACTACTTGAGAATGCTGACAAGGCTTCATTCTCATCATAGAAGGTAGAAACTGTACAGAAATTATGAGGCTTAACAAAATAAAAAGAACAAGAATATACAGGAAACAAGGAATTGGGGAGTGGTAGTAGACAAAAAGAACACTATGGATTTAAATAACAGTGTAACAGTCAAATTATACTCAGCTTGGCTCTTGAGATATAATTTCAATTAAACTTGGATTTGTGGAAAGTTTAGTTTTCCATAATAAATGCCCATCTTCTGCATCCAACTAATTCATATTTGTTTGGAAATTAAAAGTCATCAAATCCAAATGCACCAGAAATAGAATAGATTCAGTACTAAATAAAGTCAGATAGCTGACAATTCTTTTATCCTCAATAGCTTTAGAATTTGGACCACCTCAAATTTTTAGAACACTTGGAGGCATATAGTTTACGAGTAAATGAACATTATAGCAACTTTATAAGCCATCTAAAGAAATACCACATATGGTAACATCAAGTATCGAGAAAGGAAGACAAAAGGGGTTCTACAAATTTTTCTATCCTTCAAAGAAATAAAATCTCAGGCCACAATTTCCCAAAGAACCATATAAGGACTATCTAAAGCAGTGCCACTTTACAAGATGCCATTCTACAAGAAGGGGACCAACTTTACCCACTAATTAAGGAAAGTGGGATTAGCTAGGCAAAAATTTCAGTGTATGAGTAAGTGAGGGATGCCAAAAAGATAAGAGGGGATCCAAAAAGTCTTACCATTATAGTCCATGGCCTCGAGCTTTGCTTTTATCTCGGCAGCAGAATTTCTATCTCCTTCAAGGAGAAGAACCCGGAGTCCCTTTGGGAAATCCTTCCATCCCTGTAAATCATTAGCAGTGCAAACCATAGCTGGTTTGGCATCGTCACTCAGTCCCCCCACTGAAGTAACAGATCAATACTGCTTATCAACATCCAATCCATTCTGCAAGATCCATGAGATCACAAGCTTGAATTTGCTCTAGAGAACATAGAAAAAATGAAAAACAAAGAGAAGCAGAAACTCCATAAAAACTCAATTTTGTTCACATGTTGAAAGCCTTTCAAATGTGGAATGCTAACATGCCATCTAAACTCCGAAGTTAAACCCAAAACAAGTTTCAGTTTAAGAATCAAAAGTTCCAATCATTCATGAATCACAAAACACATTCCTACTCAATTTTCCAACGCATTGCCTCAACAAAAGAAAATCAAAACATGCAAGCTACAAGGATCTCATTTGCAAAAATGAAAACCTTCACAACTTCACAGAACAGTAAAAAGACAATGACACGGGTAAGATCTCCAGAAGAGAACTCTAATTATTACACAGAACAACAAGACGAGAAAGAAACCCGAGCAATTCAAAATCCAAAGTGGCAAACACGACATGCCATGCAGATATTACAATCCGAAAAAGGAAAAGAGAAAACAAAACCAACTGAATTCTCCAAAAATGAACACATGAACTGAAGAGGAACCAGCATGCACAACACGCAAAACTCTGAAAGTTGTTACTTTCCATGGCTTTTCTACTACCTTAGCTAAAAAGAAAATGCCCCACCAATTTTTCTGGCTAAAGTTTTGTTCTTTCTCCTCTTATTTCATTGATGACAAACAAAGAATGAAGAAAGAGGATAAGACGAGGGAAGAGAAGGGAGTAGGGGGGTTTAACTGCGGTCGTTGAAGGGTGTCTGTGACTTCTGAACAGTTGCAATCGGTTCTTAAGAACCACATAATATGCAGAAAAAGGTGTCTCTCATAAAAGGTCAATCAACCTTTCTGCCACTTATTTCAAGTTTCATATTCCAATTCTACCCTCAATTTTTCCTTTTTTTCCCTCCTATCAGAAAAGAAAATAACAAATTAATCACACTTTATTTCTTATAATTCGGTTTAAAATTAAATACCAATTACATTGTCTTCGTCTTCTACGTCAAAAAATTTTGAGACTTCAATTATTATATTTTAACTCGAATAAACTTTTCCGTTTATCTTGAATTTTGAAACTTTACTTCTTGAATTTTGACTTAAAAATACTTTAAAAATGACAATTTACATTTTACCTCTCGTAGTTTAATTTTAGAACGCTTTGTCCTTTTGTGCTATAAGAAAATCGAAAGCAATGTAAAACTAAAAGATTCATATTCATATATTGCCCGAAAGAGATATACTTAACCATTAAAGGCAATAAGAAAATAATGCCTATAAAGTGTAGTTTGAATGGTAACAATACAAAAGAAAAAGGTAAAGTAAAATGTTAGAGTTCATGACATTAGAAATGAAGTACTTTTGAACTACAGTGCAATGAGATAGGATGCAATTAACCTTTTTAATGCGTATCTACAATTAGAAAATTTACGAAAAATACATCAAACGCTATATGGCACCTATGCAAAGGAAAGGGAGGTAAAAGTGATAAATTTTATAGTATGTGGAGACAAAATGTTTTTCAAATTTTAAGTGAACCTATAGGGGTAAAATTGTTGAATTTTATTTATAACCATTATAATAATATAATACTATAGATGATTTTAATATATTTTAGAATATATTACTATTATTAAATATTGTAATTTTTAGTAAACAGTTATTATTTATTAATTTATTTTCAGGTGTAATTTTGCACGTTTTAAAAGGTGATTATATAATACATGATCAAAGTTTTTTGGAGCCAAATCACAAGAAGATAAAATGACAAATTTCATAACATGTATATAAGTGGGTATATTATAGGTCGCAGTCCATCGATTAGTCTACATAACGCATTGCCCATGTGGCCTTGGTTCATGAAAATTACGATATTTTAATTGTGTTAACGTGAATTGGTTCGTAAAATTCATGGATTTAATTAAAATTTAAAACATAATATTCTTGATTATTTTAATTAAAAAAATGGATTGTCAACCCGCAAGTAAAATACTTCAGAGGAAATAAAAGAAAAATGCATGTGAATTGGTTCATTAACCCATATAATTGAATTAAGTTAATATTCTCATCTTAGCCATTTGAAATGAAATTCAAGTACAACACAATACCCAATCCAAATGAAAAAGGTTACCCACATTCTTTCTTTTTTTACAAAATATGACAATGTATTAATCTCTTGCTTAAAGCACTGAAAAGATTACGCATGATAATTAGTTTCCTCAGCATGGCATGTTTAGCCTATGTAATCTCCTCTAATCACACTGACGTAAGGTGTGTTTACCAACTCCCAAGTTGAATAGGAATTTGCCCCACCCCCTAAAAGGTGCAAAAAGAGTATATTTTTGGTTGGGCAAAAGGGTCTCCTCAAAAGACAATAATAATCACTAATTTCTTTTAACTAAATCAATGAAACAATAATTGCAAAAAGAAAACTTGATTTGACTTTTGACCCGCCTTAACAGTGTTTTGCTATCCTATTTCGTCCCTTATGATCTTGATGTTAAATTTCAAATGAGGCACTGCTTAGGGAGTTTCCCTTTCCCCACAGAATACCAGCAGACTTTTCTTCAAGTCTAATAAAGCTAATAACGTCTCAGAGACAAAGAAATTCACTCTCAGCTGCACATTTTTCATAATGTGCAATAAATCTTCAACTTGATTTCGCTAGAACCAGATAAAAGTGTATGCAAGAAAATCATTATTTATATAAATACAAACATATATGCAAGAAAATCATAAACCCATTGATAAAAATATAAACTTTTCTCATCGAATGTTGTATTTTAGAAACTTATTTATGAACGGTTATAGGGAGACTTGAAAGGCATGGCTACGTTACGTACAATAGGGGCGTTTCGGTAATTGAAGATTGCTACTCCAAACTTGAAGAGTTGCTTAAGCATGTCGAGGTAGTTAGTTCGTTAATTATAATGCAAGTTAATTGTAGTAATCACATGCACCGGCTTCCACTTCACTTATAGCAACCCCTCACAAACCAATCATATTTTGACACGCAAGGGGTCTACAGTTATTTTACTGTTCAGAAGAGTAGAACTTGAAAATTAATTCAGAATTAAGAGATTTTAAAAAAAAAAAAAATTTAAACAAACTCGTGTGTGTGTGTATATGAATTGATTGAAGTTAATGTTTGATTATTGTGACTATAAAAATAATTAATGTATTTAAAATTAAATTACAGTGATCGAACGGATGAAAGGACTGATTCAAGAATCAAGTATTCATCCTTACTTAAATTGGAAACAGATAATTAGTAATTCAGTAATGTTCTTTTAATATCGTAGAATGAATTAAATAATAAAAATAGTAACAAAATTATAAATAAATAATTTTAAAAATACAAATTAATATAAGAATCAAATTACATATTTTATAAGATACAAATTTCATAAGAAATAGTATAATTTATATGTAATTTTATACATGAACTTTACTATATTTTTAAAATGATTTAATATAAAAATTCATTTTCAATCGATTTATTGGTATCAATTTATTGTTAATTTTGAATTTTTTTTTGTTGGTTTTTTAGTGATTTTGATAAATTCTTTATTTAAGCGCTTATTTAGTAATTTTTTAATAATATTTTGTTATAAAATTCACAATAAGATTATATTAAAATAATTTATTTTGATAAACTATATAAAAACTTATTGAAATAAGTATAAGAGATAAGTTTTTTTTTTATAAATATTTTAAATTGAGACTCCAAATCTTATTTAAATACTACTTTTAATTTTAACCGATATTTCTATGGTTTAAATTTGTAATTTTTACAATCTTAAAACAAAAAATAATCTTATTATTATAATTTTTCATTATATATATATATATATATATATATATATATAATAACAGTTAAAAAAAAATTACAATCAGATACGTGATCAACTAATCAAAATTGTTTTAACTATAGTTTTGAACTTGAATTTTGATGAGAGTAATAGTAATAAATTATTTATAACATATTTTTTTATTATTGACTAAAATTTATTAAAAATTAGTTAAATTTATCATAAGACATATTAGTAATTGTATATATTTTTTTCTTTCTCTCCTTTCTTCTCTTTCTCTTTTATTTTCATTTATACAACATGAATTTACTCACTTTCTATCATTTATTAGCTACTAATAATTGTGTACTATCACTTTTCATTTTGCTTTGTGATTATAAATTATGATTCATACCATTGCAGATTTTCAAATGCATAACTTTTTTCACACAAAAAAAATATAAAAAAACACTAAAAAAATTAAAAAATGTTATAATTTTAGATAAAAAGAATGTTTGTCCAAAATGTCCAAAGGTTTGAGTTGAATAAATCTCAAAAAATTATATGAAATAGATATATAAATTATATAAATCAGAGTTCTATGCTAAAAGTGATGTCTTTTTAAAGTTTACGAAATTAATGATAACAAAATACAGAATTTTTAAAAATTCCTCATCATATTTGACTTGTATGTGATTCAACTTAATTTAATTTATTTATCACAAAATTTCAACTCACCCTTTACACTATCAATAAATTTGAGTTTTACCCCACTCAAAATGAGTTCCAACCAAAATAATGATGAATACTTTTACTAAGTTAAAATAGGTTAAATTACATATAGATACAAATAATAATTATTCAACTTTTTTTGTTTGACAACAATCTGACTGGAAACAAAAGTTAAGAAGACAGGAGAAAGATAAAAGACGAGGAGTTACTAAGAGGTCGAGAGGAAAGAAATGAAAAACAACAATTTATGAATTTATTTTTTATCATTTTATTATTACTAAAAATATTTATTTAAAAATTATTAAATCATAACTATTTATTTAACATAAAATTAGATTAATAGTTGACAATCAATTACATTTACTTATTAAAAAATATTATTTTATTAAAATCTTTACTTATAAAAGTGAATAAGAAGATATAAGAATCCACTCATTCTTAAATTTTTGCTACCTATAGACTCACTTAGTTTTTCTTCCTATTGGAAGAGATACACCACATTGTATATAAGTTTAACAAGGTTACACTTGGAGATAGACAAGTTCCCTTACTAATAGCATGGATAGAGTTAGTCAATAGACATAATTAAGTGTTCACTTTTTTCTTAATATTCCTAGGTACCCTCCTTTGCTCTTTTTAGTTTTTTTGTAAGGACATATTTTTATGATGCATCTAGATACTTGAGAAATTTTAACAAATTTAATCTTTATTTGTATTATAATTCCTAGGTACCCTCCTTTGCTCTTTCAAATTTTTTTTAACGTAAAACTTTCTAATTATAACTCTTGTTTTTGAACCTTTTAAAGTTGAAAGTGCTAATAATATGCTCTTGATTATTTATCAAAATTTATTAAAAATTAAAAAAGTTTAAAGTAAAAAAGAATGAGACTCATAATTATTATAATTTTTAATAAATTTTAATTAATAATAAAAAATATGTTAGAGAATGTATTATTATAAATTTACCTTATAAAAAGTTTAGATACATGCCAACTATAGTATATATGATGTAATCCTATTACGTAGCAAAGACTTTAAGAAGAATAGACGTTACATATGTGTACATGTCACTGTTGTAATTATTTGTGAAGGGATAGAATGAAACTTTGAACAACATAATTAACAAATTATGGCAAGACTTGTAAAATATGGTGGTACAATTGGAGGAAGGAAAACTCTCCAGTGCCATAGCAAGAATGGAAGATGAAAACAGTAGATAGCAGTAAAGTTAAAATTTGGAGAAAGAAATGATTTATGATTTG